CAAAAATATTTATATACATATTAGTTGTGTAAATGTTTAATAAATGTTAATCAATTTTAATTTTGTTTATTTTAATATCTCAGCAAAGACAGGTAATGATGGCAGTCCACATAAAGACATTCATGTAAAGCAAGCTGGAAAAGATTATTACTCTGTAATGAAACCTATCAAGAACACAGAAAAGAAACCTTGAAAGGTACTTGTCAAAATGGCGTTGAAGAAGAGATGCCACTATCTCTTTCCATAATATAGGGAAATAATCACCTGGTCTTGGATATATTTCAATAATAAATAACTTGAAGTGGTGTCCTATCTATAATTGGGGTAAAAATTTCTTTTCCATTCAACACTCACTAATTAAACATCTCTGCCAGATACTGTTGAAAATACAAAATTAAATAAATTAGTATAGAGCAAAATATTTGATTATTTCTTATAAATTTTGTAGGAGTAATGAGTCTACTTTGTAATATTTTATTCATTAGATATTATTAAGCTTCTACTTTGCCAGATATTACACACTCATCACACTCATTAATAAAAAAATATTATGAATGATTTTTTATATGTTGGCCATAGAAATTTTTGCTTATCTCAATGAGTAGCCTTACTTTAAACTATTTTCAAATACTAGGTCCCCCCTGACCCTCAGTTAATAATGAGTTGTGGGGAAGTAAAATCATATTTTTCTTAGAATTTGGCTCTGGTGTTTAGCATTCAAATTAGTTAAATTAAAAACAAAAACAACAACAAAAAACTTCGTACTGGTTGCCACCATGCCTCATATTTTTATTGAAAGGAAATAAAAGCAGATTGATATCCTGAAAGGCTAATTATCTTTCATACATTCTTGGTAATTTTATATTCATATGTGCAAAATTTTCTCCAAATGGAATTATTCATGTTATAATGCTATCTCATTAGCAGCCTTATTTGACTTTCAAGATGAATATTACTAACATTGAATCCTACAATATGCATGTATGTTTTTAGCCACACTTATCCATTTTTCTGCTTTTTTGAAGGTTCAGATGTTTTATAAGCATTTCAACCTCCAGAGACTTTCTTGTTAAATTTTAAGTTTTTGGAAAGATAATACTTAGGAAGAGAACTTAAAGAGAGCCCTGATGATAGGTAACTTCTTGGGAATGTGTTTAGAATCCAGTTTAATCTGAGTTACATGTTCAGCTTCAAATGGTATCCTAAACAGATGTAGGCAATTTACCTGTTGCCTTGCATTGCAATGGGACAATCTGAAGTATAATCTTATAAGATTAATATTTTTACCTGATAAAATATAGTTCTTCAGAAAAGGGTTTTCAAAAGGCTCTGATGGTTTGGGGAAAGGTCCATAGAAAAGGATTAAGTATGGATAAACAGTAATACGTTTCTTGTCTTAGTTTTGGGTTCAGTTTTCTCAAAAAACTAATTACCTATGATGTGAATATGGTAAGTTCCCAAGACTCCTGTAGAACTTATGGAGATTGTGGAAAATATTAAATAGTTGGGAATGAATGAATGAATGAAGGCAGCGAGTATGGTCAAGTGGGTAACCTCAAGCATTTCTTGAGTATGACTTGTGTCAACAAAGCCAACAACACAGGCATATCTGAGGAAGACTATTTACTTCCTAAGGGATCTTTGACAGAAGGAACCAATGAACTTTTCTAGGAGATACAACAACCCTTATAGCAACTTAACCTTCTCAATCAATTGGCAAAATAGTTATCACAGGAATAGAAGTTACTGTGATATGTTGTTTGTATTATGGACTTTCCCCCTTTTAGAGTAGTTTTGGAATTTGTTAAAGTCAGTGATTCTTACAAGTGAAGAATCAGCTTTTGGAAAAATCCAATGAAATGATTTTCCCAGTTTTCTGAGTAGGATAACAAGTCATATTTCTGATAATTCTGACTTGGCATTTTGTGGAGAAACAAGTTCTCTCAATGGTGGTTTTAGTAACAAAACTTTTATTTATCTTAGAAGATAACTGTCATTTCAGGCTTTAATGGCAACATTTATTAAAATTTAAGGGACCTGAAATACATACATACATATAAATACATGTGACGTGCAATATTATACCTCCGTTATACAGCATTTGAATTCAGCATGAAAACACATATTTCAATTATTTAGGTACAAATATCTCAAAGATTTGATACAATAAGCATTTAAAGTTGACTATAAAGATATCCTCTCAATTACTGGTCCAATAATATGAAGCACTAAATTTTGCAAATAATTTTTGAGTCTTTTCCTACATTCAGAATGCCTTTTGACTTATAACAAGAAAAAATTATACTTTTTTGGTTTTTAAGAACAATAAGGGCTGGGGTTGTAGCTCAGTGGTAGAGTGCTTGCCTAGCCTGTGTAAGGTACTGGGTTTGATTCTCAGCACCACATATAAATACAGGTCTAACAACAACAATAAAATAAATAAATAAAAACCAAAAATAAACAAACAAACAAACAAAAAACAAATAACATCATTGCTCCAATTCAATCATGTTCCTGAACACATCTGGGCAATTTCATGGAAAGAATTATATATATCATTACTTTTGATATAAAACTATATTTTTGAGATATAATTCATCTTGATGTTATAATTTTGTTAATTACCTTGTAATTTTTATAGCCAAACTTTTTTTCTAGTGCTTTAATAATCAATGTCCAAGCCAGGTATGGTAGAGCATGCCCGTAATCCGAGTGGTTCTGGAGTCTGAGGCAGGAGGATAGCTAGTTCAAAGCCAGCCTCAGCAAAAGCGAGGTGCTAAGCAACTCAGTGAGACCCTGTCTCTAAATAAAATACAAGATAGGGCTGGGGATGTGGTTCAGTGGTTGATTACCCCGGAGTTCAATTCCTGCTACCAAAAAAAAATAAAAAAATAAAATAAAATAAAAATCAATGGATGTGTAACTGATGTGATTCTGTAATCTGTATACGGGGTAAAAATGGGAGTTCATAACCCACTTGAATCAAAGTGTGAAATATGATATATCAAGAACTATGTAATGTTTTGAACAACCAACAATAAGAAATAAAAAAAAAAAATCATTGTCCAAAGAGACACTTCCTTCACAAAGGCATATTTAAAGCTGTAGAATAAATTTTCCACATTATTGGTAATAATATGGACATAGTAATATAACTTCATATTTTAGTTTTCATGCATATGAAATCTAAAAATGAAGAATCATTTTATAAATTAATATTTTGTTTTCAATATTAAGGCACAATATATCTAGACTGAGATGGTCAAATGACATAATTCTGAAGAATTGATAATCATAATTAAATTGTAGAATGTTGTATAAGTCAAATAATATAATGGTAGCTGAATCAATTGAATTTAGACTTGAGAGAAATTGGGTTACTCTTCTATTGATGTATTAAAGACGTGTATTTTTTTTTTTATTTTATACATAAAGTACTATTTTTCTAAATTCAATAAACATAGAATTTAATAATTTTTTCTATGTATAATTGAAGCTCAAAAATATCCTTTGAAATATTTAAAACATAAGAAGATAGATTCAATTTATTTTAAAACAAAATTGAAATAATAACACAGTCGGACTTAGACTACCATTTTTATGTGAGGGTTTTTAGTACATATGTGCCAATTAATAGTTCTCCTCACCTAAGAAAAATTTGAGTTAAGATACCAAGAGTTAAAAAGTCTTCTCAGGTAATACTTTACCACTGCCTCACTGAGTTACATATATTTTCTTCTATAATTATTATTTATTAGTTTATTTTACAAAATGGAATTTCAGCCTATATTTTTAATTTTTGAGGAGTTAGAAACTTAATGTGATAAACACAATATATAGCTACATAATATATCTTTAGTTTTAAGAAGCATGTTTAATAAGATTTTAAAAATATTTTAAATGTAAATCTTTGAAGATAATAAAAGCCTATTATGAATACACTCTTTGGTCAGACAAAAACATCTATAATACTGAGTAAGTCAATTTGAGTATCAAAGTACTATTCTTTGTAGTACACATTAATTTAATAAATTTCAAATTCAGAATTCTAGACCAACTGAAATATTTGTAGTCATGTAATAGTGTCTTCACAGCTTTACAGTTTTAATAAATATTTTAAAATTAAATTTACATAATGTATTCAAAATTTCAACTAGTATCCTATTTACAGAAATTTATTTAAAAGTGATTTAAATCAAATTATGTTCTAAAGAAAATTAACAACTCAGTTTCTTATGTAAATATTTATATTAAATGAATTAATAAAAAATTAATATCCATATATATCAAATAACTTCTAAAATAATGTTATCTAAAACAAATTCTCATATATATTACATTTTAAGTTTATCACCCCCAATTTTTAAGATTTATAACTTTATCATTGTGTAATTGAACTTTGGATTAAAAACACAGTAGCATTTTCATTAAAAAATAAATAAAATTCAGGTTGGGTGCAGCTACTCAGGAGACTGAAGCAGTAGAATCACAAGTCTGAGGGTAACCTGGCTAACTTGGGTGAGATCCTGTCTCAAAACTAAAAAGGCTGGGGTGTAGCTCAGTGGTATTGTGCTCCTATGTTTAATACAAAATTCCATGATAGATAGATAAGTGAACCTCTATTTTGATTGGTATCCATTTATTGACATTTACTAAATTTATAAATGAGAACTTATGAAAGATGAGCTAGAATTGGTGATTTTCTATACATTTTTATAAAGGACAATATGAGTGTTTGTTATTTGAAGATCAGGTGTGCATACCTTACATTTTGATCTTTCAAGATATTCATTCAGATATTCAAATATTCATTAACTACTTTATGCCAAGAACTATTCTAGGTGATGCACTATTTATGTTTCAGTGATATAATATTTTGGTACTTTTTATGCTTTGTGAAATTTATATTCTTTTTTAGATTATTCAGTCCTTTATAATTTAAATATGACTTCATCCTAATGTTGCTGTTACAATTTATAAAGGAGACACACCTGTTTTTCCTTTAAATTATATAAATATTTTATTTTTTGAAGTTAATGAATCAAAGTAACTACTGTTTCCCACTGTTCCCAACCACCACTCCTCCTCCCAACCTTTGGCTCTTGGATGATCAAGACCAAGGTAATACTAATCTACAAAAGTTCTTCTTTTAAAAAATAATTTAAGCATGAACAAAAATCTTCTATCAAAATGGATTGAGTCGTAGTCCAGTTCCTAAAGGTGAGAATGGATTCACCTTTGCCCACATCAAAGCATCATTCAATGAAATAGCAGATTTCCCATCTTCAAGGAAAAATACAGGGCCCTGTACACAGTGAAAGTTGAAAAAAGAAAATATTAGATTATAAATTCATAACATTGTTTCAAGCTTCCAGAAACAGAATCACTGCAATAAGAACACTGGTGATATTCAGGCACTACAAATAGGAATTCAAAAAATATGAAAGAAAATTGTTTTTGTTCTGAACTGCTACCAAATATAAAAACATTTTCAAATATTATATTCTTATTTCTTGATGCCTGTGAAAATAGAATTTCATATTTTAATTTTAACTCTTTGTATACAGTAGTGTTACCAAGGATAATCATTATTACTGAAAAATCTATTTGTTGCCACAAAGTTAACTTATTTTCTAAAAGCATATATCATAGAAAAATACTTAAATATACTTCACTATTTTAACCATGCAGCCTATGTCAAAATAGCTGGGGAAATTATTAAAGCTGGGAATTTCAATCATGCTTTACAGAAGGTGAAGAATATATATATTGCTCTATATATGCATATATAATATTAAATTACATTCAATCAAGCCACTTAAGGGCATATTTATACTTTACCTGCATCAGTTATTATGTATGCCCAGCTTAGTTATTGGGGGGGGGGAAACCTTTCAGTCTGTATTTCCTAGGAAATTTGTATTTCCTGTCTTGAAAGGCAACATGTAAAAATCACAAAATACAGTAAAAATTTTAGTTTCTTTAACTTAATAACCAAAAGCCTGATAGGTTTAAGACTTATTTTAAATGACATTTGTTGTTACAGAATCATTTCTAGATATTAGAAGTTGGTAGATAGATTCATATTAGTTGGTACTCAAAATTTCAAATAATAGTTCAAGCACATTAATTTTCTTTTGAAATAGAAATTTCCTGGGAGGGAAATTATGTATATTAGCCAGGTGTGCCTTAGTGTATTTGAGATAATAAGCAGATCCCTTCCTCAAAGTAGATTTAACTACAGAGAGGTTAGATGGTATTTATCAGGTCATTTGCTATCCTGAATGGAGAAAATGAATGCTAAGAAAGGGAGAAAAAGGAACCTGAAAGTAGCAAGTACTATAATGGCACATAAAGGGCAGTGAGTGGTGCTGAAATATACTCCAAAAATTTCACAATATTTTACTCTTAATTAAAAGTTATTGAATTGATCATATTACTTTGGTTCTTTATTTCAGAATAGAATTGGGTAATAAAGGTGTAGACAATGATGTATGCTGCGCTTTAGAACATTTCAGTGTGTTTTGAAGACTCTGGTTTACAGTGGCAAGCTAAGCTTTAGGTAGGGGTCTATATTAGTATCCAGCTCTTTCATTCATTTTGAGTGGCTGTCTCAAAAAATAACCTCTTTCTCTGGCTGGCATGTCAACATTTGTAAGTTTTAACATTACATTAAAAATATAAGAGTTTACTGTTAAAATGTGCATGTATGTATGGGGGCTTTTAGTACAATTTGTAATCTCAATTAGCATTTCATGGAAGTCAGCTTTGTTTCCTTCAGGAGGACTCCTCCAACTAGTCCTGGCTCCAAGATGAAGACTTCTCTAGTTCTTCATGATAATGACACCATTGGGTCACATTGAGAGGCTCTAGCATCATTCATCATTGTTAATTTGTACACGAGGGGAAATTATTTGGGAATTAGTCATCCCTCACGATTGACCCCAATAATTTTTAATTTTTGAAAAGTTTAGTAAATCATCGTAACATAATATCCCAATAATTTAACACAATTATCAAAAATACACATCCATCAGGTTTTAATGCTTTGTGTTTATACAACACAAATGGAAACTAGAAGGTTAAATTTAATCTGTTGTGATAAAATCATTTGTAACTGTTGACTGTTGCTTGGGCTCTCTTATTAAACTTCCCTCAGGATATAACCTGTATATATTTTAAAACATATTTGTTACTAAGCATACATATCATTTGTTACTAAGTGTATATATTACTTGAATTGCTTTTATGATAATATAATGACTTTCTCTGAATTTATTTTAGGGAGAAGAGTCCATTTATGCTAACTATTGTAGAAGCAGCATAGTACTATTTTCTTATGGGGCTCCATGCCTCATTATAGGTATCTATAGTTGTTTTAAAATAACATTTCAAAAATACATAAAAAGTTGAAATGAACATTTTATGTCTGACATTAAGCTGTACCTGGATTTTTAATCCCGTAAGACAAGACATGTGAATGTCACAATGACTTGGGAGATTTGATCCAGTCACATAATCTGGTCCAATAATTCCTTTGAGTGGTTCTTCCTTTAGTTTCTTTAATAAAGTTGTATAAACCATTCTTTGTGAATCAGAAGGGGGTGTATATGGCGATTCCTCTGATCTATATTTTCAACAAATATTAAATTTTCATTTTTATAGAATCACAGAATTATTGAGGTTTAGATTAGAAATAGTCTCTGATGACTATTTAGCTCTCCCCATCATAGGTAGAGGAAATCAATGTTAGATTTAAGTTAAAGTAAAACAACAACAACAACCAAAAAACTTTCAAAAGGCAGGAAAAACACCATTATAAATTATTACTAAATATGTGCTAAATAAATAAAGATTCATTCATTCTGCAAAAACTGATGAGACCATGCACATTTTACAACAATTTTGTCTATCACATTCACTTCCTTCAGTATTTCAATTTTTATATTGTATCCACTCACTGATTGGTGGGCTGTGTACAAGCTCTCCATGCATCCAGTTCCTCAGAAAGATGTTCAATTTTTAAGGGAACTGATACCTTTCGACGTTTTAATAGCTGGCTGAAATGTGAAAAGAAATTAACATATGGCATAAAAACTTAGATATCAGCAAAAACAAGTGAACTTCAATTTTGGACTTTAATAATTGTTCAGAAATGTATGTACATATACCTAAATGTAGTTATATACAGATATATACACACAGACATATATATCGACATTGTATGTACATGTGTGTATATGCACTTGTATATTTAGCATTTAAATCACTGTCAAGTTCAAGATGCTCCAGAAACACTGGTTGCATAAATCACTGTCAGTAAATACATAAATGAACAGCATAATGTATGGAGAATGGCTATAGATTAGCTGAGCAATGTTGAATAACTGAGTGAGAGAGAATACTTAATTATCATTTTGATCATTTGATCCTATACAACAGAAATATAATGGCACCATGTAAAAGAAGGAGTAGATTTGAGAAGAAACATTATTTTAATTCTGAGCATACTAAGTTTGAGACTGGAGCTTATCAAGCTGCTGGAATACGCCCATAGGAGCTAGCAGAGCAGGTTAGTCTGGTATAAATATCTATGAAGATATTCATAGAGGTGATAAGTGAAGCTAAAAAATGATGAGATTTCTGGAGAATAGTGTATGGAAAGGAGAGGGGAAAGAAGAGGAACAGAGATGTGGAAATAGAGTGAGATGGGGGCCAGGAAAGGGAAGAAGAGCAGGGGATGAAAGGGAATAAGCCTTTTGGGAATTGCATATTTAGTGGATTATGGAAACAAGCATAGGGAGCAGACAAGAAAACAAAGATGGTATTCTCAAAGAGAAGTTCTTTAAAATTAAGAATTCTTGAAGCTCTCTTTTTAAACTAACAAGTTTCCTTTAATTTAGATATATTCTCTCAAGTGTATCCTTAAATAAAAATAAATAAAAATCCTTTTTATTCTAATCTTAAATCTTAAATAAAAATACTTTTTATTCTTAATTTAAGCAATTATTTCCATTTCTTTATCATCACTGAGGCCATATTTAGCTGAATATATTTCATTAAACATTATTTCTGTGATACATCTTACTGTATCTTTTAAAATAATATCTTTTAATATTATTAAAACTATTTGAATTTTGGTTATGCTGCCTGCATAGAAAGATTTTTCCTTGAGTATGCCAACAGTATTAGTTCCATATAATTGTTTAGGTTGCACTAGGTAGCAGTTACTTCTTCATGAACACTATAAGGGTGAAGTAGTCAGTAATAAGAAAGGTATTTCTCTCAGGATCCTCCACCTCATCTAAAGGGTACTCAGAAAAATTGCTTATCTCAAAGCTCTCAGCATCCATAAATTAAAAAGGTAACCTACTGTGCCATTTAGCAAACTAATAGATTTTGAAATGTATTTTGGAAGTGTACTGGGGATTGAACTCAAGGGTACTCAACCACTAAGCCACATCCCAGCCTTATTTTGTATTTTATTTAGACAGGGTCTCACTGAGTTGCTTAGAGATTCACCATTGCTGAGGCTGGCTTTGAACTCATGATCCTCCTTTCTCAGCTGCCCAAGCCACTGGGATTACAGGCATGTGCTATCATGCCCAGCCCCTTGAAATGTATTTTTATAGAAGGGATCGTGAATTTTATTTTGAGTATAATAAGTTTTAAGCATAATGGCTGAAGTTCAGGAAGCTGCTAGAAAATGCAGAAGTACATTATAATTGAATATAAAATAAGAGGTTACCTGTTACTCACAAATTCCATTTACTTTGCATTTTTTTGACAGATTGGAAAGTGAATATACCTAGTCTCCTAGCTATTTTAAAAGTAGAGTCACACAATTAAGGCCAGTGAGATGTAGGCATGAAGCCCTAGGAGAGCTTTCTTTCTTGTATAAAATTGTCTTGCTTGGAGAAAGCTCTTTGAAGTCTATCTTTTACCCTTAGTCTCTCTTTCTTACTTAGACTGTAGACATAATATATGCAGGGCTAGTAGCTATCTTGTAACCATGGAAAACCTATACAAGGAGAAAGAAGCCAAGAATGTCAGAGTTGAAGGGAGGAAAGGATTCACGTCTTGATGGAATCAATGCATAGCTACGACAGTAATGCCTTTGTAAAGTGTCCTGACACATAAGACCAGTAAACCGTATGTGCTTAAGCTAGCATAAGATTTCCATCATTTATAGTCTAATGCATTTTAACTCATATATCTTATTGCTGCTTTATTAAAAAGAAGATGTTGAGTAAATAAATCAATGCTTCTGATCCACTTAAGAGACTATCTGTTTTAAAAAGAATTTCTCTAATTTCATGATAGAAGAATTTTTTCTTTTACCTTGTGTACTCATAAAGTGCTGGAACAATGCTTTGGTACTGTCTTCTGATAGCCAATAATGCACCAATATAACCACATAATATAAGCAACTCATTTCGAGCTCTAAAAGAGAATATATATATACATTTCAAATTCTATAATTTGAGGCATAGAACATTACTTTTGTATATAGTTCTTGGATATATTATCTGTATGTGTATGTGTGTATATACACACACACATATATATTCTGTTCTTGTATATATATTCTGAGGATAACATTTGTAACAAAATATGTTTAGGAAATTTTCTAAACTTGAGGGAGATAACTTATTCATTAGTTAATAATTCTTATTCAGGACAAAGAATATCAACTACATTTCCTGCAGGGGAACCTGCTTGTCCCAGGTTGCAGAGTCATCTTTCATAGGTACAACTAAAGAAAGAACCCCCCCCCCCCAAAGCCTTTCTTATAAATTATACCCAAGTCTCTGAGGGCCTAAGTCATATGAGGATAATGTTTTAAAATGGTACGTGAATTTAGGGTTGATGTCTATTTTTTACTTTCTGGCACTTGTATTTCTTTCCCCAGATGCTAATATGATGTTTTACACACAATAGGTAGTTAATAAATACAAGCATTAGTTTCTTGAGGACTTGAGGTCTAAAACTTCAGGACACTTTGAATTAACCTTTTTTGAGCCAGGTGTGTGTGTGTGTGTGTGTGTGTGTACACATAAGTAAATATATATACACACACTGGATAGTGTTAAATGGGACTGTTAATATTTAATTGCAGTCAATGACTGTATATTTTTAAAGAATATAACAAAAGTATAATTTTCTAGAAGTACAGCTGTCTGTCCAAGAGGATCCTATTTACTGATAGAAACATCAAAAATAATAGAACCATTTAAAAACATTGCATTGATTCTCTTGTATTTTAGAGAAAAAGTACTCACTCAGTGCATGTATGCAAGACTAAGTTTTCAGTACGAATATAACTCAACAGGTCAAGAATGGGATAAATGGTATCCAATGTCCAATTTGAACTACTGAGGTGTTCTGGAAGAACAAAATCAAATACAAGATTCTCTAAAAAATAATGTCAAAATTTGTTCATCTAATTTTTAATTTACATAATTCTCTAATGGTTAATCCTATATATCTATATCTATATATCTTATTTTCTAGATCAGAAGTATTTTTCTAGTCACTATCCGTCAGGTCTCCACATAATATTTCTCATTTTAAAATTCAGGATGGTCAGTGCTTGATTTTAAGGCTGTCAAGATGAACAAACGAATCAGATAAATTAAGTAGATTTAAAATTTATATTACCAATGATAAACTTACCTTTGACAAAGTCAATACCAATAGGAAGGGCTTTTTCAGGTTCTTGACTTAATAAATAATACTTTATAGATTCAAATACATTGCCATCTGCATGGGCTGTCTCAGCTAACTGCATACATTCTTCTACTGTGGGGAGTTTGCACTAGGAAATAATTGATTTAATGAGAATGTTACTAAGATTTATAGAAACAGCAATGGTATAAACACCAACTATTTACATATACCTGTTTTATTTATTAAAATTGCCAAGATAGATGTAATTAAAATTATTTTAATGAGAATATGTTTATATAAATATATTTAAGATATTTAAAACAATTTTTAAGATCTAAAGACAACAGATCAATCTTTAATATCTGAAAACAATAAAAGTTGTCAATAGCTTTTCATCAAATACCTAATAAAAGAGGTAGAATTAAATTTCCTGATTGTAATATTGAAATTAGTAACTAGAAATTCAATTTAGAAAAAATACTAAAAATCATTTTTTTTTCTTTTTTAGTTGTCCATGGAACTTTATTTTATTTATATGTGGTGCCGAGAATTGAACCCAGTGCGTCACATATGCTAGGCAAGCGCTCTACCACTGAGCTACAACCCCAGCCTGAAATCATTTTTTTCATAATATATGTACTGACCATTGGCAAAAACTACATTATATACAGCAAAACATCGAAGGTGCTTGATTACATGTTTTCTATATTATCATTTCACATAGCCTTTGAACCAAGTGACCTTATTTCAAAGAGGCTAAAAATGTACAAGTTCTAAAATCTGACATTTTGAAATTCCCCCATAAAGTTGAGATTTTGGTTCATGAAGTTTTATTATTACAAAATATACCTTATATACAAACAGAGATATGATAAATTGTGGTATAAAGGTATATTAAGAATTGTAATGCAAAAAAATAAGAGAGCTCATGTATAATGGCATAATTTGGCGTGAACATACTTTATATACAGAGTTATGAAAAATGGGCTGTAAAATAGATAATTATGAATGTAATGCATTCCACTATTGTCATGTATGAAATAAAGAAAAAAGAAAAAAACCCCAAAACTACATTCCTTATTGTTTTTTGCTAAAATAGCCTTCAATTAAGTTGTTCTACTACCATAATATGAATAGTGATCGTTACCTTTTATATCAAGTTTCAATGTTTTATGATTTTTTAAAGCTTAAGAATGCTGAAGTCTGTTTCTAAGCAACATTGATAGTTTAACGCTTTTTCAATTTATTTGTTTATTTTTGCATTTATTCAATAGTTACATATTTCTCACTGTTTTAACAATTAGGTAGAATGAACATTTTAGACCTTTCAATATCTAAGAAAGTAACACAAAAAACTGAATTAAGGTGACGGTCACATAAACAGCTTTACATATTGCTTTCTTCCCCATCGTTATTCATGAATTGCCAATAATTTACTGAGCAACTAATATGGGCTAGGTATAGTGCCTGGCTAAATAAGAATATTTTTGTCCTATCTTAAAATTCACAAAATTATATGTTACCATAATGTTTGAATATAGTTTTTGATATTACTTCTTAAATTTTTTAGAGTTATTAACACTTTTACAAATATTCACTAGTCCTTTTAAAGAGTTACTAATAAAGTCTGAGAGTCTGGTTACATCCTTTTAGAATGTGGGATGAAAGTGAGGTAAATACCACTCTTTCTCCCATTATCAAGGTCAATGGTAAAAGCTGCAACTAGATAAGATAAATAAGTTATGGGGCTGGGGATATAATTCAGTTGGTAGATTGCTTGCCTTGCATGGACAAGGTCTTAGGTTTAATCCCCAGCAGTGCCCCCCAACCCCCCAAAAAAGTTCTGGTGTTCTACTGCACAACAAGATGATTATAGTTAATAACAACATATTGTAAATTTCAAAATAATTAAAGGATATTAGAATTTTTTACTATAAGGAAATGATAAATATTCGAGGTGATTGCTAATTATTTTGATTTGATTATTCCACAATATATACATGAATCAAAATATCACTTTGAACCTATAAACATATACAACTTGTCAATTAAAAATAAATAAAACTATATCTACATAAACTTATCTAAGTCATTTAACCTCTCCAAATTTTGATATTACTCACTTGCCCCAGAGGATATCTGTTGGCATACATCCAAATACTACACAATAAATGTAAGATATATTTAAAAATAACCCTCTTGCCTCCTTCCACATACACTTTAATTTCAACGTAAAATAGCATTTAGTTGAATGTTAACAAAAGCAAAAGCACAGCTTATTTTAAAAAGTAATTCAGGGGCTGGGGATGTGGCTCAAGCGGTAACGCGCTCGCCTGGCAGGTGCGGGGTGCTGGGTTCGATCCTCAGCACCACATAAAACTAAAATAAAGATGTTGTATCTACCAAAAACTACAAAAAAATATTAAAAAATTCTCTCTCTCTCTTAAAAAAAAAAAAAAGTAATTCAAAGTATGTGAAGTGTTTAAACGAGTTAAAATCTCCCATAATACCACAACCTACTGGTAATTCTGGACATTTATTCTTTCACCAGTGATTTCTCTGATACCACACACAAACTCTCATACTCACACACTTTTGGTCTATCTAAATTAACAATACTCAATAATTATATATTGTTGAATGAATGGGACTATTCACCCACTGGGGGAAAACTCAAGGCTCAAGTAAGCGGAAAAAAAAAAAAAAAACTTAGCTAGTAAGTAAAGAAAAAAAAAGTTATTTTGAAAGTTAACGATGAGAAAATATTTTATTGATATAAAATTTCTCAAGTATTCTATAAGTAATACACATGGTTATTTAAAAAATGAAATCATATGGCATATTGATAGTTTTGTGATTTTTCTCTTTAACTACATTTTAAAGCCATCTTCTCATATCAACAAAAATAGGTGTTTTAATAGATTAATAGCACTGAAACACAGAAAGGTACTGTGACTTATATAAACATTTTTTGCTACTGTTAACCATTTTTGGTGTTTTATATATAACATTAGCATATAGATTTCTATGTTCTGCAAATGAACATTTTAAAGCACTTTAAAATAATGCATATGAATTTCTTTATATTTTATTTGAAAAAGATCTTGAATTGTCTGTTTTAAAAAAATGTACACATACCTTCAGATGCAAAGTTACACAGTGGAAAGGGCTTTGAACTTGGAGTTGGGCTTGCTGAAGTTGAAATTCTCACTACACTTTTAACTATTAGGTAAGTTCCTTCCTTTTCTGAGTTTATTTTATTTTTTTTTTTTGCAAAATAGGATAATATTCCTTGTTTCATGAGACTTTAGTAATATACAAATATATATAAAAATTTAGAACAGTAATAGGCATACAACAGAAGCTCAATAAATATTATTTCTTTTTGTTATAATTATTTTGAAGTTTAAAGTATCCCAAAGGGATATTTGTTTTTCTTCATGTATCTCTATTTTCTTGAACCTGAAATTTATTAAATTATCACACTGCAATACACACTAGAATCATCACCATACCTTCTCATGAATATCATTTATTTCTTCAATAGACCCTGGGTAGAAAGCACAGAGTTTTACTAAATGTAGTTCATTATCAGGAATCATCAGGAGAAGATCGGCTGCCAAATTCCTGTTCATGTAACAAAAGGGGATGAAGTCATTGAGTAAAAGATCTAAAAATAATATAATGATTTCAATAGTAGGAGACTCAGATAATGAACCTTCCTTGCTTTTCTATTTATATAAACTACTAATTTCCCAATTGGTCATGAAACTCCTCTAAATGTAGGTTATAGAAAACCAACAGTATAAAGGATAAATGTATTATCAAATTACTAAATAATTTTTTAAAATCTAAACTTTATATACACAAGTCCCTACATATTTATAATCAAATTATTATTACAGAATAATTTTCTAACGAAATTAAGTAGTATTGAATATGTTCTTTGGAGCAAATTATAAAGCAAATTTTGTGAAAGCTAACTCTCATCAATTTCCCTTCCAACAATGGAAAATCTATTATCAGTTCACTGAAATCTTTAGAATATTAGCTATTATAAGCTTAGACATTTTAGTATAATGCATATTTCTTAAACTTTAAGTAGAAATTGAAGACAGAAATGTAGTTTTTGTTAAAGATTTAATCAACAGAATAAAACACTTAAGGGTTTTAAAAATGTAAAATCCTATGAGATTCACTGCCTTACACTGAAAATATTGCTTATAAAACCAGTTTTTCAAATCACTAGGTGAGGAGTTTTGGTCTGCATGCATCATAATTGAGAAAATATCTAATTTTCGATGATTTAAGATGTTTAGATATCAACAAATTAATATATAATGTATGACTTAAAATAGAGGATATTTCAAATGAGAATTTATAAAGTTAGGTACCAGGGACTTCATCTTGGTTTTGAAGACTTCAGTAAAGTATACATTGGTCATTTATTGCCTAATCAAGAATGCAGAGTAGAGAATAGAAATAGAGATGATTTATATTTCTGATGTCAAATACAAAAGTTAATTTTAAAAATGTTCACATACATATGCATACCACAAACTACTAGAACAATAACAAATTAGGCATACTGTAAGGTTTTAGAATAAAAAAACTTTAGTGGGGTACCATAAAATTCTATATAAAATATTTTAATAATTCAAAATCCCACAAATAAATAATTTTCCATATCATGTCAATGGAGAATTGGTAAAAGATTACAATGTTTTTATGTATTATTTTCCCCTAGCCACTTCATAATTAAACATGTTTCCCAAACTGACAATATTTCTATTACCATTAGTGAGATAAATTTTTGAATGTTTTTATAAGTTCCAAATAAGTTTACCTGTTATTACTGGAGAGTATAAATGACTTTATGTATTTCGTGATACCAAAATTTTATAGCAGTTTTAAATAATGTCCATGATAATACTTTATTCTCTATAAAGTGTCTGTACTAAAACTATACTTAAACTTGCTAACTTCAGACAAATCCTGAATTTCTTGAGTATAATTCCATTTCAATAGAGAGAAATTTGTAGTAAGGCCAGCTAATTTTATTCATTCTTCAATTCCCTATTTTTTTTTAAATTGAGTACATTGATGAGGGTGATGGGGCGTGTGCTCCTGCATATACATATTTAAGTATAAAATGATACAGAACAACCAAATTATATAAACTCTTGAATGCCACTATGAGAACAAGTATTTCTTTTTTCTTTTTCTTTAGCTAAAGTAGCTATTGTTTGTTACTGTAGAAAGGTATGGTTCATTTACTGTACATATTTTAAGTATCATGAGTGATTTTGTGTCTAGGTTATAGGAGCTATTCTTTATTAACTTGGTGGTTAGATTTTATATAAATTATATATATAAAAAGGCATGCTATAAAGCAAAGTGAAAATAGTTATTGAGCATTTTTAATATAGATATAGTACTTAAATACTCAAAACAGTATAGAATTAAAAAAAATAAAAATCTTTAAAAATAAACTAATACCTGTATCCAACAGATGGAAAGCTAAAAAGAAAATATTGAACATGAATATTATAAATATGTGAATATCAAGAAGGAAATTTATACCAGTAAATACATGGGGTGTTTTTGGTTTATAAAATTATGAGCATTGTCTTTAAGTCATGCAGCTATTTTTATTTGTTATCCATCTGTGGAATTCATTAATAGTCATGAAGATTACAGATTTCTTCTGGAAATAAACTTAACCAGCACCTCATAGTTCAGAATTTGAACTTTATCCTGGTTTCTATACATATCTAGGGCTTTATAAAGGAAGAACTCTTGGTGGGGGATAGTAAACAAGGCAATAGAAATTTATTTTTTAAATTAAAAATATAGCTAGTTGAAAGATTCTAATGATATTTTTAATATAATATGCATTTGCTAATGTTTTACCTTCACTTTAAAAATATTAATTCCATTTCATTAGGCCTTTTGGCACGAAGTCAGCCTTATTTGTAAGGAAATAATTTGAGTAAACTTATGCTTTGGGACAGGTCTAAATCAAGTCATAATAACTACATAATTGACTATTATAGTTCTTGACAGAAAGATTTAATTCTCTCCCAGGATAGTCATTATTAAATACACTTAAGTGTGAAGTTGATGGTGGGGTACTACCACATTTTGGTGGGGAAGTGAGTTCTTACATCACTAAGATGTGTATAAAAATTAGAATAACCATGGGATTCTTGATTTGCTGTGAAATTCCTAGATCCCAACTGAAAAGGATAATAGAAAGTGTGCTTTCTCCTCCGCCCCCCAACACCAAGTTAGCCACAGATGAAGGAGATGGTATACAGTAGTAGCTAAGAGCTCCCATTTTGGAGCCAGTCTATGTACTTTTGAATCTCAGCTTTACCACTTAACTGAGACCTCAGGCAAACCAATACTTGCCTCACAGGACTTAATGATTTATGACACAAAAAGTGTTTAATGTAGTGCTTGGCACACAATAAGCATTATAACATGTTAATTAGTCATGATAAATAAGTTCATTCGGAAACTTCTTGAGGTCCTAAGTATTTTGTTGAAAGAGAAGATAAAATTCTGAATTCATCTTTATTTTTTTTTTAATTTTTTATTGTTGGCTGTTCAAAACATTACATAGTTCTTGATATATCATATTTCACAATTTGATTCAAGTGGGTTATGAGCTCCCATTTTTACCCCATATACAGATTGCAGAATCACATCAGTTACACATCCATTGATTTACATATTGCCATACTAGTGTCTGTTGTATTCTGCTGCCTTTCCTATCCTCTACTATCCCCCCTCCCCTCCCCTCCCCTCCCCTCCCCTCTTCTCTCTCTGGCCCCTCTACTGACATTCGTTTGTCCCCCTTGTATTATTTTTCCCCTTCCCCTCACTTCCTCTTGTATGTACTTTTGTATAACTCTGAGGGTCTCCTTCCATTTCCATGCATTTTCCCTTCTCTCTCCCTTTCCCTCCCACCTCTCATCCCTGTTTAATGTTAATCTTCTTCTCATGCTCTTCGACCCTACTCTGTTCTTAGTTACTCTCCTTATATCAAAGAAGACATTTGGCATTTGTTTTTTAGGGATTGGCTAGCTTCACTTAGCATAATCTGCTCTAATGCCATCCATTTCCCTGTAAATTCTATGATTTTGTCATTTTTTAATGCAGAGTAATACTCCATTGTGTATAAATGCCACATTTTTTTTATCCATTCATCCATTGAAGGGCATCTAGGTTGGTTCCACAGTCTAGCTATTGTGAATTGTGCTGCTATGAACATTGATGTCGCAGTGTCCCTGTAGCATGCTCTTTTTAGGTCTTTAGGGAATAGACCGAGAAGGGGAATAGCTGGGTCAAATGGTGGCTCCATTCCCAGCTTTCCAAGAAATCTCCATACTGCTTTCCAAATTGGCTGCACCAATTTGCAGTCCCACCAGCAATGTACAAGTGTACCCTTTTCCCCACATCCTCGCCAGCACTTGTTGTTGTTTGACTTCATAATGGCTGCCAATCTAACTGGAGTGAGATGGTATCTTAGGGTGGTTTTGATTTGCATTTCTCTGACTGCTAGAGATGGTGAGCATTTTTTCATGTACTTGTTGATTAATTGTATGTCCTCCTCTGAGAAGTGTCTGTTCAGGTCCTTGGCCCATTTGTTGATTGGGTTGTTTGTTATCTTACTGTCTAATTTTTGGAGTTCTTTGTATACTCTGGATATTAGGGCTCTATCTGAAGTGTGAGGAGTAAAGATTTGTTCCCAGGATGTAGGCTCTCTATTTACCTCTCTTATTGTTTCTTTTGCTGAGAAAAAACTTTTTAGTTTGAGTAAGGGTCTACAAAGAAACTATTAGAGCTAATAAATGAATTCAGCAAAGTGGCAGGATATAAAATCAACACGCATAAATCAAAGGCATTCCTGTATATCAGCGACAAATCCTCTGAAATGGAAATGAGGACAACCACTCCATTCACAATATCTTAAAAAAAAATAAAATACTTGGGAATCAACCTAACAAAAGAGGTGAAAGACTTATACAATGAAAACTACAGAACCCTAAAGAGAGAAATAGAAGAAGATCTTAGAAGATGGAAAAATATACCCTGTTCATGGATAGGCAGAACTAACATCATCAAAATGGCGATATTACCAAAAGTTCTCTATAGGTTTAATGCAATGCCAATCAAAATCCCAATGGCATTTCTTGTAGAAATAGAGAAAGCAATCATGAAATTCATATGGAAAAATAAAAGACCCAGAATAGCAAAAACAATGCTAAGCAGGAAGTGTGAATCAGGCGGTATAGCGATACCAGACTTCAAACTATACTATAGAGCAATAGTAACAAAAACAGCATGGTACTGGTACCAAAACAGGCGGGTGGACCAATGGTACAGAATAGAGGACATAGAAACCAATCCACAAAACTACAACTATCTTATATTTGATAAAGGGTCTAAAAGCATGCAATGGAGGAAGGATAGCATCTTCAACAAATGGTGCTGGGAAAACTGGAAATCCATATGCAACAAAATGAAACTGAATCCCTTTCTCTCGCCATGCACAAAAGTGAATTCAAAATGGATCAAGGAGCTTGATATCAAATCAGAGACACGCCGTCTGATAGAAGAAAAAGTTGGCTACGATCTACATACTGTGGGGTCGGGCTCCAAATTCCTCAATAGGACACCCATAGCACAAAAGTTAATAACTAGAATCAACAAATGGGACTTACTGAATTCATCTTTATTCAACAAACTGTATTGAATGACAGATAGCATCCCATCTTTCCTAAAGGTGTCTTTCTAATGATGGACTGCCTGAACTAAGAACAAGGCTCTGCAGATCTGAGTGAGAACTGCTTTAATCTAGAATTCCAGGTTTCCCCTGGGAATTCCCTGGGTCCAACTCTTAAGAGGACTTCAAGAGTTCAGGGAGAGGGAGGGCCTGTTCTAAGTCTTCATCAAAACTATATATTTTTTATTGTTTTCCCTTAGAAAAGTAACTTTATTTTAATGCCCTAAATTAGGATACAAGATCTCACAAGAATAGGTATAGATGTGCAAAGTTTTAAGAGGTGGGATTGTGTGGTCTTGATGAATTTAAGAAGTGCACATTTGTTGTCTCCTAACTCATGAGGTGCTTGAAACATTATGGAGCTACACCTGACTACTTCGGAAGCGGTCATGGTAGATTTCATTATATAACCATGGTAGTTCTCACCTGTCCCATCATCATATAGTGTCCTAATACATATCAAATATAATTTATAATATTTCAAAAATGCATGTAATCACTATAAAATTATTCTTTCAATTTGGAAGTTCTTACCATATTGGAATCATCATGCATTTTCTTGCCAGTAATTCTAGGGCATAGTGAGTTGCTGGTGCTGCAGTTTCTCCTAGTACCATTCCCACACAGACGGCCAACTCCAGTTCATTTCCACGAATCAGGTATGCCATAGCAAGCTTGCTCAAGAAGAAAATAATTTCTTCAGTTGCATAGATGCTGGGTAAGATCATCATTCCCCTCCAAGCTCATAAAGTAGTATTAACCTATACATCAATTATTCTTATAAAGTATTGTTATATTCCTGTACAGTAAGAGTAATTGCAATTTTCAAATGAAAAATCTTGATAATGAGACATATGAGAAATTGATCAGGTCAGAATTGAAGACTTTAGAACTCTTGCTTCTATTTTTGCATTTAATAATACTCGGCTATATCCTCAACACATCCTTCAGTTTTTCAGAAAAAAAATATAAATTTGAAAAGTTTCTACAAGATTGTACAATAATATTAAATCATTCCCTAAAGCCAGTATTTCTAAGGATAAGTGCAAAATAGAACCTCTGTATTTTCCTTTTTACGTGAATGGGTCAAGTGTAATGTGCCTTAAAAATAAAATTTGTGATGAACATATAAAAGTATACTTAAATACAAGTGCTTTAGTTTGTATCAGTTCTCATAATCCTAATAACTACAAGTGAAATATGTAAGGTAGTTATACTTTTTCATTTTGGGGCTGAGGACATCTGAGATTCTGAGAGATTAAGTGATCTGATCAAAGTCAATTTGTGTTAGAAACAGAACTAAGATCCTTGAATTCCATGTCTAGTGATTTTTTTTCCTTCATCAGACTATCAATTCTCACCTATGATGAATTATTTAAAGCAAGATTGTTAAAATACATATCATGTTTTAAAAATTAATCAAGAGATTTCATAATCTATAGCATTTGTGTGTGCTAATTTGGCAAGTAATCACTCAGGTTTGGAAGCATACAAACCAGAATTTACGTAGAAGTCACCCCTCAAACACCATGACACATCTAATGAGGTTTTCAATCACAAGCACCAATTTGAAATGTTGTACCTCAATATTATCTACAGCTAGATGGCAACATGCAGCAAGTACTGCTCGACCATCCTGAAAATACCATTCTGCCAGTTCTTTACTGACTTTGTGGAGGAGTCTAGAATGAAAGAAAAAAAGAAATATTCTTTATTAATGCAAGAATTCCATCATAAGTGTGAATAATGTCCTTTTCAAAGGGGGATTAAGGGACCTAACAGGTTTTAATTTGACATCCTTGATTTAGGTCTAAACCTTATTTAGGAAAAAATTCAGGAAAGCAGTCTCTCCAAATATATGCTCTGGTAGTCCTCTCCAGCCTTAGCACCTAAACTCTAAGAAGAAAAGCCTGATTTTTAAAGCTTCCATTCTCTAATGGGTAAATTATGACTCACATGTATAATGTTTAGCTTTAGAAGAATCACAGGTTGAAATGAATTTTTTCAAAATTTAGGTGATGCCCAAGATATGACTTGTGTTATATTAGGTCTTAAAATGCCAAGTTTTAAAATGGCAGAGAATAGGAGCAAAGATTCAGGAATTACTACATGATTCCCAGCTCATTACTACTCATTAACATTTCACGATCCTTCTGTAGTTTCTGAAAGTCTGAAAAGTTTAATTATCTTATTGTCGAGGTCCATAATAGGCACCAATAGAGGGGGTGGGAAAGATAGACTAAGGGTGAAAAATTCTAATTTCTGCTTCTTTTATAATATAACCAACTGTATGGACATCCTACTTAAAAGAGGAATAAGTGTTATTCTATTCTACACACTGATACTAGCATCATGGGATTATAGACACTATGGGGATATTACATATACTCACTTTACAGTGAATCATCAATAAACAGCATACCTTATTTTACTACCTTGTCCTCCCCAACAGGTTCAATCAGTTTTTAAAGTATTTATGTGCTTTAATTGCTCTCTCTCTCTCCTGAAATGCATGCTACTTTTCTGGAAGTTACATAAAATGCATGTAGATTGTGTCTACATGCCTGACATTTTTTTAATTATCCAGGGATAAAAGCTGTCATGGAACTCCATGTGAGAAATGCAGTTGACCATAAGGCAGCAAGTCCTCAAAGAAGGATGTGCTACATAACCTCAAAAACTTCTAAAGAAAACCAACTACAAAAAAATTCTGACCCAAAATAAAGAGTAAATCACTTACTCATCAAAGTCTTCCTTGTAGATATCATCAGAATATGAAGCTCCTTTAGGTGTAGAAACATGCAAGTTTTGCATATTCCCCTCGCATGCAGCCTAGGGGGTTTAATTAAACTTTTAATTAATGTTTAGCTATATAACTGACAAATTTAAAAATATTGTTTGTAGCAAATTACATTTAAATCATGTTGAAAGTTTATATGATTTGGAAAGAACCTTAGAATTTGAAAATAAATAAAATGTAACTCCATTGTGAATACCATCTTGAAGCTTCCAGTAAATGATTACTAAATAAAAGTTGTTCAAATACATGGTATATCACAGTGAACAGCATGTGAAAAGTTCAGAGTTCTGAGATGCCTGCCTATTTAAAAATCTAAAATAAGTTCAGTATGACCACAGCAAAGATAGTATGATAAAAATGTTGAAGCAGAAGGCTGGGGAGGTGGGTTGAAACCAAGCTATCTATGACTGTCAACCACTTGCCTATGAGAACAATATTCTCCATTCCTCATACCCACCCACCAAAGTATGTGGCTGCTATATTTATGAGGTTTTACCTGTGCAACAAGCAGAGCTTCTTTAAGCTGACCTCTTGACATAAAAAAATTTACTAGCTTTCTCACATCACCAGTGGCTATGCAGTAAGGAATGACATCATCCTTATCTTCCTGGATTAATTGGTCAGCTCTCCTAATAAAATAAAATTTTATTATACTATATTAAATTAAAGCAAAATATTAATTTCAAGGTTTTCAGTTGGACTGATATTTTCTGAAAGCATGTCTAAAATTTGTAGCAAATTTCATAAAGCTTTTGGGGACATCATTTAAAGAAATACAGATTTTATAATGAATTCACATATAGAAGACATAAAAGTTATATAAGATAATACTACAGATATATATTTAGCCTTATAACACTACATTTTCATTATATTTTAATCATTTACTAAAATGAACAATGTATTTGAAAGTAAGTTGTAAAATGGAAATATGATTGTATATTTACTCTCAATTGGATTAATCAAATATGTGGATGTCTACGTAAAGACAGAATCTTATGTGTTTTAGTAAGAATAACAATGAACAGAGAGCCTCTTAAGTTGAAGTAGTATTAAAAAGGATAATAAATATTTATAATAAAATGCAAAATACTGTAAGTAACCCAAGCAAAGATCTTTAAAGATAAATTAATATTCCAGACATATGAGGGGAAAACAGGGATCATGATTCTGGATACTGAATGGTATACATGTATCTGTTTCTGTGTATCTGTATTTCCGTACTCATCACTATCTGTCTCCCTGAGTCCTAAATATTTTCTCAATGATCAATCTAGTTCATTCTATCCTAAAATTTAACTCAAGTTTTGTTCCAGATTAACCTGGTATATATAATTTATGCTGGCATTTTAAATATGCTGAAGTTTAACTTCTAATCTTTAGGTTGATAGAGGAGATAATTTTCATGTTGTTCATCTAACTTCCAGTTAACCATCTCTAGTTCATAGACTCAACTGGGTACTCCTCAACAGCCTTTACTTCTCATCCTGATTTCCTCATAGTAGATGTTTAGAAAATACTCTACTCTCCTGGACATTTTGGAAGCAGAGTCAAGAGAGTTCCAATCAAACTCTCTACGTGACGGCCTGAATGGGCTGGATCTATAAAATATAAACCTCAGGATTTGTGGGGAGATCATTTTATGCCCATTATTTGGAGTAAAGAGCAGAAAAAAAATCGGGTGTTTGCTGGTGAAGATCAATGAAATACAATTGGAAGCGTTGTCTGTATTCCCATCTGCAACTTCCCCTCCCTCCCATTGCCTCCCTTAGCCCCTTCTAATCTTGTCTCAGTCTCCTTTCTGGCCAAGCAGCTCTTAAAGTTAAGGATACCTTCCATTTGTACAGATTTATTCTGAGTTACCGAATCAAGATTATCTATTTGACATTCCTATTAAAATCACAAAGGAATCTATAACTCATCATGTCCAAAGAGAACTAAGGATCTTATGTCTCCTTTGAATGAAATAATCTCCTAAATTTCACTTTTTTGGGGTTGTTGGTTTTTTGTTTTGAAATCCCAGTGAATAGCAACAGTGTTTCAAAACCTAAAACTGAGGAATTATTTGTGACACCTTCCTCACCACTATTACCAAGTCCAGCTAATTTAAAATCCTATATATGTCAATTTTTTCCACTTTTCTCCCCCATTACCATTTAACTGTGCCACTGTTGTCTCCTGACATGATTGTTCTCATGCTCTTCAACTTGTCTCCTCATATTTGCTATTGACCTTCTCTAATCTGTTCATTTTTTTTAAAATTTTAATATTTATTTATTTATTTTAGTTTTTCGGTGGACACAACATCTTTGTTTGTATGTGGTGCTTGAGGATCGAACCCAGGCCGCACGCATGCCAGGCGAGCGCGCTACCGCTTGAGCCACATCCCCAGCCCCTCTAATCTGTTCTTGATACTTTAGCCTGTGTGAACTTTCAAAATGAAATTCTGATCAGGTCACTTTCTACTCTGTTTAAAGTTTTTAATGTCTTCAGTTGCTCATAGGATAAAAAAGAAAGAAAGAAAAAGAAAAAGCTTAACATGTTACAAAACCCCCAAACATTTAGCTCCTAACTACCTTTTTCTCCTTCACTTGGCGCCACGCCCAATGCTGGCTTCTGTACTCTAGCTATCTTAACACGCTTTTAGTTCCTAAATGGCATAAAATTAAGCTTTTGCTGAGGTTGAAACAGTGTTTTATGAAATAAGTCTCTGCTGCTGTCTAGACTTTATTAATGAGTAAGTGGGAGCAGTAACTTTCACAAGTGTGTTTTGAGGGTAGAGAAATCTATAAATATCTGTGATTCTGGGAGCTTATAGTCCGAAAATGAGAGTCAGCTTATTGCTTAGCTTTCTTTTGGGGCAGCAGGTGCTGAGGAACAGTCTACTTTCCCAGGGAAATATGTAAATCCTTCTGGATTTCATGTTTATCCTTTGACTGGTTTTAAAGCTATAAACCATGAGGAACTGAAGATTGGTGGTAGCTACCAAAAGTTGGGAGAGAAGCAAAGAACTGATTCTTCCCCAGAGCTTCCAGTTGTAACCAATTTTGCCAACAAATTGATTATGGACTTTTTACCTCCAGAACCATGAAGGACACATTTCTACAGTTTTATGCCATCCAGTTTGTGACAACTTGTTACAGCAACCCTAGGAAATGGATCCACCTGAGAAAAAATCTTGTTGGTTTATAGCATTCTAAAACAAGGACATTTAGGTACGTTTTCTCGGTGGTCAATCCATTCTCTATCATCAGTACCTTCCTTATACCCGAGAAGAAATGGCAGAATTCAATGTCTCCTACTAGACTGTAGATTAGATTCTACAAATAATAGAATATTATATTGATAGCCCTCAGAAAATCTTTTTACTTATATTTCAATAGTGATATTAATCAGTAAGCATGTTTTCTGGTTTGCCTTTGCCTTCATTTATATGGGGAAATTTGTCTTCTGTCTTCATCAGAGGAAAGGACAAATATAAGAATATCAGAATGATTTGTAACCAATTTATTAATCTTTTATAAATAGATAGAAAAATTCATATATTAAATAAGACAACATAAGAAAAATCTGAAGAGACACTACCACATTTACATATTGCTTCTATTTTAGCATATGATTTTTTTTTATTGTTGGTTGTTCAAAACATTACATAGTTCTTGATATATCATATTTCACACTTTGATTCAAGTGGGTTATGAACTCCCATTTTTACCCCGTATACAAATTGCAGAATCACATCAGTTACACATCCTTAGCATATGATTTTAAAACATCTACCTGGATGCAGACAGTTGGTCTTACCTCTGCATTAACTTCTTCCAGTATTTCACAGAGACCCCTGGTGCAATTGACAGGGCTTTGTCCCACTAGGATCACAGGCAAGAAGGATAAAAACATACCTATTTTGATTATACTTATATCAGGGTTTTAAATGAATTCATATTTATAATACAGAACTTTTAGAGTTCTTGAATTTTCAGGAATATTTTTGTATTCTATCTAATGCATTCCACACAGACTAAATATTACCATGTTGTAAAATAAAATCTGTGAAATTTTAGTATTTAACAGGGAAAATCCAATCACAAACCTAGAGACAAAGAAAGAGGGAAGGAGGGCTAGAAGAAGCAAAATTGAGACAGGAAGGAGATGAAAAGATAGTAACTAAGGTGTATAGAAAATACTGTAACTCATATTCTAACACAACATCAAAACAATTTGTTCTATGGTGTTTATATTCAAAATAATACTGAAATTTTTAATTTTAACATTATTTGATTGAAGAAATACACCATTTACTTCTCTTTTTATTTTTTTCATATTCATTTTATAAAATTTATTCTCATTTCTATCCTTATAATCAATAATGTTTGTCTTATTTTAAAAACTAGACTGCTATTGAGGAGCTCATTATTCAGTTAAGGCCAATTATGACTAATTTGAAAATATGAAATTTTCTGAATTCAAGTTCTAAAAGGAGATGAAGAGAAAATATACTGAAATATCACTACATGAATCAAAATTTTCACTTAATTAGGCTTTCCAAAATAATGGAGTTCTACTGCAATGAAGCCTTAAAAATTAGTAATTAACTTAAAATAACATTGACTTTTAAATAGTTCATTTCTGAAAATACATATTTAAAATCATGTTACCTGAAAGGTACCCTATAATAAGTTTTAGGAGAAATGTATTTATTATAGTAGGGGAAATGGAAGAAAAATGTTGGAATATAGATTATTAACTTTGAATCCACCAAGCTCTTTCAATAAAAACATATCAGTTCTCTCTGATATGTGGATACTAACACACAGTGAGGGGTAGGGGAAGAATAGAAATTCAGTGGATTAGACAAAGGGGAATGAAGGGAAGGGAGGGGGCATAGGAATAGGAAAGACAGTGGAGTCAATCTCATTTAATCTTCCTATGTACCTATATGACTACACCACAGTGAATCTCCACATCTTGTAAAAACAAAAGACTGGGCTCCAAATTAGAATAAGATGAACTCCATGTTTGCATAATTATGTCAAAATATAGTCTACTGTCATGTATAACTTGAAAGAACAATAACAAAATAAAAAAATATAAGTGAAAAGATGAAATGTTTTCTTCACCCATAGTTTATTGAAAGCTTATTGAAATAGAGATTATTGAAATAGAGATTAAGCTTATTGAAATAGAGATTATTCTTGAGGAGGTGATTATAAACAGTTACAAGCACACCCATATTTCTAAAAAAAAACTATAAACAGTTCTATGAATCTTAAGAGCATCAGTGAATCAGTACAACAATAAATTATTAAGCTTCTTAGGGATACCTAGTTGAGAAAGTTTTTGAGTTAAGATAGTGTAAAATTACACACACACACACACACACACACTTGGAAAAGTAAAGAATTATACTGTTCTACCAAAACTCATTCATTCCTTTTCTCCTTTTGATAGATTTTTCTTCTTAGTAATGTGCTGTTAAAGATTTGACTCAAAAGTTACTTTTTTATGTGATAATAAAATTTTTATATTACTCTAAATTAAACACATTAATAATATTGAAAATATTATTGAATATACTAAATGATATATTTTATTATTTCAAGTAGTAATTAATTGCCTCTAAATATGTGGGAAAGTAAAAAGGTGAGTTAAATTTGATTTTGATATATTTTAATGTAACTACTGCCGCAGTCTGGCTGGGCACACAATCACGAGCCACCACACAGCTTGTAGATTCAAACAGCAACTCTTTATTCCCGAACTCACACCAGCCGTCTACAATCACGTTCTGGGGAAATCCACGTTCTCTGCCCAAATCCACCCCCACTGGGCTTCTATCTCTCAAAAAATACTCTGAATCCCGTGAGAACTCAAGGGGAACTCAGGCAGCAGGATACGCCCTATTCCCAGCAGGAATAATCTTAAACCTTAAACCTGGAACCTAAACTGGGAATGCCCTAAACAGGATTATCTTAAACCGGGAACACCCTAATCTGCCTTGGTCCTTGAGTAAGGTCACCTACATTAAATGTCACTGCAACATGGGGTACGCTGACAAGGAAATTGTCATACCTACTTGGCTAATGGCTCCCAGCAAACTACATTGTTTAGTTTTACTTTATATTATTTCTAAGTATTCTTTAAATCACACCTTATAATTACAAAATTAACTAACTTAGAGGTTGTGAAAGTGATAATTGGGTCCACACCATTTCAACATTTGTTTTAGCAGAGTAGGTAGGTGGAGAATTTTTGTTGAGCTAAAATATATTTACAGAAAAGAGAAAAGATCAATGAATTTTTACAAAGTGTATCTACCATACAACTTGTACCCAGGATCAAAGAAACAAGCACTCCAGCCTCTGTTCCATTCTAATCACTACCCACCTACTAAAGGTAACCATTGTCCTGAATTTTAATAGCATAGATTCATTCAAACATTTTTTGAAAAATTTATTCTATTGAAATAGTCCTCTATAAAAACCACGATATGCTTTCTAAGTACTCTTCACCAGAGGATCCTCAATGAAAACCCCTCTTCTTGTCAGCGTGGAATTTAGTCACGACAGAGTTTATTAGAAGGAGGATTTTACTGCATGCAAATTAGGCAATTGGGGTTTCATGGCAGTGGTTCTGAAAATTTAGCATGCATAAGAACAACCAGGAGGGCTTACAAAATCAGATTATCCGGCTCTATCCCCTGAGTGTATGATTCTGTAGGCCGGGGGTAGGACGTGCATGCTACCAAGTGATGTAAATGCTGCTAGCCTGGAGAACTCACTTTGTTAACTACTGTCCTAGGATATATAGCTGATATCAGACTGCCAGGAAATCAGCTGGATCTGAAAAAAACTAGCTTCATATTTGAATACTTAGTATTAAGTGTATTCTTAATATTTAGAGTACTATATTAAACTCAATAATTTTGTTTTAATGGCATATTACCTCTCCAAGTTCAACCATAAGTTCACAGTATCTCTGAATTTGTCCTAATCTCAAGTGTATTTCAGCAGCTTCCTTCAGTCTTTCCTCTTTAGTAGGTACACCAATACCACCACCAAATTTAGACATCTTGACTGTTGTTAGTTCTTGGGCTTCAGACTGATTAAAAGAAAACAAAAATTTTAAAATTTTGTTATATAAGAGCCAGATATTTTAAAAGCACATAGCATTGGAAATTAAATATTAAAAATAATGTTTTTCAATGAAATATGATACTTTTAAAAACATAATATTTTGGCATGTGCATGGGAGTGTGGTGTGGGAGAGAAGTTGCATCCTGTTAATACTTTCCAGGTACTGTAGGTAAGTGAAAGAGTGGGGGTCAAAGGGAGTCTAAAATAACATACTACTGATAAAGATCTTGAATAAAAATTCAAAAATCTTGAATGAAAACAAAAAAATCACTGGCTGTCTTTGACCCCCGTACTGTCAATAGATTTTTCAGCTATAGTCTTTAGGTATTTAGTTTGTGATTGAAGAAAGTGCTTCCTCTTTATGAAAATAATTCTTTCACCTTCCTAACATGATTTTCTCCATGCTCTAATAGTTAATTGCTGATATTTCATTAAAAATAATATATCTCTATTTTCCTGACCCTGTATAGATTTTGTTATTGATACTAGATATTGCCCTAGTTACTTTCTTACATATTGCCCTAGTTATGAGTTAGTTAATAATCCTCTACTAAAATTCATTAAATCTCCAATATGATCAGTTTTAATACAATATATGTTGGCATACAGTCTCTTAGATCCTCTGAGGCTAAAAATCATAGTACTTATTATTATTATTGTGTCACAATAATCTTGTAATTTCAGAAAGATAAGGCATTTCAAGGAATTTTAAGTGACCTTAAAAATGTCATGAGATTCAACCTATGAAAATATGGGTACCTTAATCTGTTCTCAAATAATTCATGCTCTCATGATTGGTTTTACAGAAGATTTATCTCCTCAGTGTTCATTTATTTTAGTTTACCAATCTAATCATATAAATATGAATATAATTTCTATGATTAATCATAAAACACATAATATAATAATTATTAATGTGATTAGATACTCATATAATACATAATGTGATTAATTACATTATGTATATTAATGTAATTTTCCTACATTAATAGTGAAAAAGGAAAAGTTGCTTGAATATATTATATTTGCATATTTTACTTACTGTTCTAAATTTAATTAGGTGCTTCAAATGCATTATTCCTTTGCAGTAGCTCTGAGGAAGTAAACTATCATCTTGCCCTTTTATCACAGCCACCAAGTTCCATAAATTGTCACTGCCACCTGGAGGCTAAAATGTTGATATAGAATAACCAAAGATAAAAAGGTGAACAAAAATCCTTTCAGCATTTTGCATCTTCAAAAATACTGTAAATCAGATTATCTATACTGAAATTAGCCAAATAATAAGTACATACTATCTCACTTATTTCTGATTTCATATTTGCTTTCTTATAATGTAGAGATTTTATTAAAAGGGGTCCACTGAAGTGGGATGGTGAATTTAAATATGTGACAACTTACTGGCAATAGCCACAGTGATTAATTTTGTCTAAAGGATCACACTTAATTCCTATAATACTTACTGATAAACATTCTGAAAACCATCTTAATTTTTTCACTCGAGGATTACCAGCCAGTTTTTCTATTTCCTGTTTAATATCTCTTGACACTTTACCACACAACAGAGGAGGAGTGCCTTGTTCTATGACACAATCTGAAGAAGAGAGAAAAAAATTTTCCTATAAAATATTATCTGAAAATAAAAATTTATTTAAAAATAAAATTAAATGCATGCATATGTTCAATACCAGTATTCCCGATAATTTCTTCCCAAGATCTGTCTGCCAGAATATTTATTTGTAAAGGAGTGATTAAAGGTGTTAATGACCAGAGTCTCACTGTAGAATCACGGGAGCAAGAAGCCATAGTGAAGGGGCGACTTGGATGGCATGTTAAACCTGATGGAAAAATATAAACCTGTTTTAACTAAAGTAAACATTGGGAAAAAAATCTTATTTATAGTTGATTCTTAAAATATCTGCAGAATAGAAGTCATGAAGAAGGTGAATAACTGAAAGATTATCAGAATCAAACTTCAACTTGTTTTTAATTAATATGGCTGACAATATTAGAAGACTTAATAAATTATTAGTATATTCTATAATATGAATATAAAATTAAATAATTATTAGAAAACAAATAGTCCTGTGTGAAAATGCTGAAATTATATTTCATTTGGATAAGCAGCAAGTATACAGTAATACCAACAGGGCATATGGTATCTATGAATTAATAGAAGGATAGATTAAAGTTCTAGTTAACAAGATGAAAACAGAATTGAAGACATCTCAATTGAGAATATCAAAAATAGGATTCTCCCCTACACGCAGTCCCACATTGCCTCAGCTAAAAGGCCACTGAGGTAAAGCATATAGATCTGAATAACCGGATTTGGGATACTTTTTCTAAGGAATTTCTTTCCTTAACTAATACAACAGAGAATAAAATGATATGCAAAAGATAAGTAATTTGATTTTCTATACTTAGCTCAATTGTACTAAAAAACTTGGTGGTATATGTTTTAAAAATGTCCCTTAGTGTCCCCAGATAGAGGAATGACTAAGTGAGTTTTATCTATTCTACTATTAATTTCCTTTTCTGCAACTTAACTCTGAAATGATAGGAAGGCAAGAGGGAAAATTGACCCAGATATGCACATATGTGCATGGGTATATGTATGTATTGTGTGTGCATATGTGTGTGTACACAGAAACATACACCTGCAGAGAGAGAAAAACAGTGCTAACAATAGTCATCTTCTGATAATTTCTGACAATTTCTTCAGTTTTCTTTGAAATATTCTAATATTTCAATAAAAACATTTTCTAATGAGAATTTTTTCCAAAATGAAATGCTGTAACACTTCTTTACAAATATCATACTACTCAGAAATTATAAGCATCATTAATGTATCAAAATAACAAATACATGAAAAACTCTTTACCGTACACATCTGCACCATGGTCATATACAGTATCCAAACAAGTTCCTTCCCGAGTGTCCCACACTTTTATAGTATAGTCCCAGCTGCCAGATATTAGTAGATATGGAATCTCAGTATTCCACATTAATCCCCTCACCGGTGCAGTGTGTCCACTAAGAATATTTATGCAAACATCTTGAGTATAATCCCAGATTCGAACAGAACTGAAAATAGAATATTGTGTATATAATTCAAATTATAATTTATCCAAAGTATTAACATTCTTAATGAATCATAATGATTATTAGCAGATTTGAAATACATTTTATGGATCAAGATATATCAATTCTCTTTGTTATAGTAGAGGAAAATGAACATTTAACTGTGCCAGAGTTATCTTATTCCAACATTTTTTTTATTTTTTGATTTTTACTGGTCATTTTAAAGCAATAAATATCAAATATACTGCTTTAAAATTTATATATGAAAAAGTTGCTCTCTTAAAATGAAATATCCGGAACAGATATAACTGAAAATAAACTATGACTGATAACAGAAATACAACATGAAAATTATTTGCATATCATGAAAATACATATATGATGATGGATATTATCTGAAAAATCATTATAAATTTATGCTTTTACCTAAATAGTAAATCATTCCTTCATGGCTGGGGGTCAGTAAAATAACATTCTTGGTCAATGTGGAATCAATCTCAGACAAGTAAAAATTTAAATATAAGTAGGTTCATGATATTACTTGGATCTACTAATTGCACAAAGTACAAATGTTACTGAAATCAAAGTTTGAATTCAAAATCAACCTAAGACCTCCAAATGCTAATAAGTTTTTAACTTATACCAACCTGACAATATCAAAATATTGGTATGTCAAAGGTTATACTGCACTATAAGGGAGATACAATATGTACTTTTATTTCTTTAAAGCATATCTTTGTACTTTATATAAAAAGGCTCCCTTCATTCTCCCATCTTCCTAGTATGAAATAATAAAATCAGTTCTCCATATCCATTGGTTCTACATCCACAGGTTCAATCAAGTATGGAGAGAAAATATTTTTTAAAACTGCATTTGTATGGAACATGTACAGACTTTTAATTTTCATTATTCCCTAAACAATACAGTCCAACAATTATTTACATAATATTTATAGTATATTGAATATTGTAAGCAATCCAGACATGACTTCAAGTATAATTGGAACATGTCCATAGATTATAAGGGACTTCAATATTCAGAGTTTGGTGTGCATGTAGTATCCTGGAACAATCTCCTATGAATACTCAGGGATGAATGTATATCTGAACATATTATAACCTACAAGTTTTGGTGCTAGTTTCCTATATAGGTTAACATTTAAATATTTACAGTTTACTATCATGCTTTCATAGATAAGAATATGTTAAATTGATTTCCATCAAAATAATCAAATGCTATTGTTGGGGACTCACTAGAATGGGGTCCTTCCTTTCATGAAAGGAATCAGTTAGGTTTTGAAGTCATATATGTTTTCTGAATGAACATAAGAAAGGTTTTTATATGTCCCACTATACATGAGAATTGTCTAGGATTCCCAGGATGAGGTATAGTATTTGTGAGCTATGCTGAATACATTAGTAATTAATAGTTTCCTTACATTTTTACCTTTATTTAAAAGTGCTAGATAAATTTAGTGAGGAATAACAATTATATATATAAACAGTTAATACTAATGGAATAATCTTAGTTTAAAGCCTTTCAATTTTCACTACCATAAATAAGTAAAATGCTTACTGCTGTCTTTCTGAAAATAATCCTTAGATAATAATTAATATTATGCCTTTATCCATATGGAACAGAATTTAGACATTGAAGTCTATGTTGAGAGACTGGAATAATTTCATAAATAATATTCACTTTTAAATAATAACCATATTTGAAATAATATTTTAAGTAATAAACCACAAAACCTCATAATTGTTTCTTCTATTAAATTTGAATTTATGCCAGAAATTTAAGGTGAAAATGCTTAATTATTTAATTTTAAACCCATGGATACTATGCATTCTGACTTGTACTGATAAAAAGTAAGATTTTTTCTTACGCAAATTTATCCCATCTTCAAGTAATGATTAAACATACCATTCTGTATAAATGTATCTTTTTTGAATATAAAATATGGACAAAATGTTAGAAACTGCCACCAATAGAGAAAAATGTTAAGTCCATCTCATTTCTAAAATGTTCTTTTCATGCCAAAATTTATGATTAGTTTTTATTCCATTCTTGATGAAATAATACAGCTGTTTTTCATATCAAATATAAGAACATTATTAAAAACTCTTCATATTTTATAGTTTTTTTCAGATCTTCCCTTTTCCTATGTATTTTTTTAAAATTTGTTTTTATTTTCTTGCCAGTATGCTAGAAATAAGCATTCATAATAAGCAAAATATACAAGAAAATAAAAGCCATGACTATAATGATACCATAAGCATAAAAGAATTTAACATTTTTTTACTGAATTTAGTTTTAGTTGTTAGCTACCTGCTTTTTAAGCACAAATTTAAAGTATACCCACATATAATTTGATCATATAAATATGTGCATCTCTGGGAAATATGTTTATGATTTTAAGTACTAGAAAATTAGAATCCAAAAATACATACCCATCATCAGATCCACTGCAAAGAATTCCTTCTCTCAGGGGAGACCATTTAACATGAAAAACTTTTGCTGTATGTCCACTAAAGACTTTCAATGGTTGATCTGAGTTGGTGGCTACATAATAGACACGCACATTTTTGTCTTCACAGCCAGTGGCAATCATGTCTCTGAAATGTCATCCATGGAACATTAAAATATGATAACTTTGATATTATTCTCTACTAATAATTTAAAAAATGTACAATAGTTCTAATTTCTAAAGAAATCATTGTCTGCTTCTTTTGTGAAGACTAAAACCTTACATATATAAAAACATCATATATAATTATGCTAACTGCTCATTTGCAGCAACTGTACCAGTATAGAAAAAATTCCTTTCTCAGTGTTTCTTAAACAACTAATTATATTGCATGAAAATTAAATTTTATTCCAACTGCCCAAATGCTTAAAAGAGACAAATAAGAATATGGAGCTATTCTATTGAACTATTTTATTATTCAGATATAATGTAATTCTATTCATATTTAACAAATATTTATTGAACATTATCTCTTCAAAGGACAATAAAGTTTTGCAACCCAGTGTTTTGTTAATAATATTCTGCTAAACATAGATAACATAATTATCTCACGGAACTTACATTATAGAATATGAGATAGTTAATATGCAAACAATCACACAATTCAAAATCCAATTTTATTATAATAAGTAATCCAAAGGCACAAAATATTGAGGTCAGGGAAGACTTTTTTGTAAAAAGTTTTTGAGCTCAGAGCTGAAGGATAGGTGGCAGTTCTTTGTCCAGCCCAGGTGGGGTGTGTGGTATGTACAGTGTGGTGGGAAGTAGAATCCTAGCTAACAGGCACAGCTTGAGTGAAAGCCTTGAGCTGAAAATCAGCTGGACAATACAAAGAACTGAAAGCTAATGTGAGTAGATGCAGGGAGCAGGGGGAGCAAGGCTTCATTAATGAGATTAATGAAGTACACCAAACCCAATTTATAGTGGTTCCTCATAGGGCCTAAGTGTTTGCATTTTATCCTGTAATTATTGGGAAACTATTGAAGGATTTAAATAGTAGAATGGATTCTTAGATCTATATTTTAAATGGCTGCTATATCAGCAAACAGAGGTGGCTGGGGAAAAGGGGTAACAAAAATGTAAATTCTGGAATTGATTTAGAAGACTTTTGAGGGCATCCAAAAGTAAAGGAAAATGCAAATAAATATCATCGGTTTAGTGGCAGGGGGATGTTTGGAAAGAGTATGACAGGCATTGATGGCTTCTGAAAATTGAGAGTTTATAAGGTAGAAAGAGGCAAGAATTATGGCTCAGTGGGGAATGTGCTAGTCACCAGCCTATTTTGTGTATAACCTAACAAGGTGCTAACAAATTCCTCAATATTTACTGGAACAAATACACATGGCAGTCGTTTTGTATCATACCATGATTTGATTCAGAACACAAGAATAATAAAGCTTTAAGTATTTTTGTGCCAGGGATTAAACCCAGGGGCACTTAACCCCTGAGCCACATCCCCAGCCAGCCCTTTTTATTTTGAGACAAGGTCTCCCCGAGTTGTGTAGGGCCTTGCTAAGTTGCTGTGGCTGGCTTTGAACTTGCAATCCTCCTGCCTCAGCCTACCAAACTTCTGGGATTACAGGTGTGCATCACTGTATCTGGCTCTTATTTATCTATATATTTCCCACATGTAGTATGAAAAAAAATAAGATAATTCATGATATTTGACAAATGTCAAATGTTTGGATTTTTAAATATAATCCATATCATATCAAAGAGTGGTTTGAAACACAAAATTCTTGAAGTGAAGTGAGTTAAAGGTCTAGTTTTAGTAAAATTTTACTTGGATTTAATTTTAAGTCTTGCATTATTTTTACATAATATATACTCAGCTCTTAAGCAATGATGCCTTTTCAAAACCATCCAACTTGGGAGGCTGGGGACATAGCTCTGTTGGTAGAATGCTTGCCTCACATGCAAAAGGTCCTTGGTTCAATCCCTAGTACCATCAGCACCACCACCACCAACAACAACAACAAAAAACCCATCCACTTAAGTTCTGCATCTTGGGAAATTACTCAATGCAGAGCCATTAACCTGAGGTGAAGACCAATAGGAAGCCATGATGGAACAATACCATTGCAGAGATACCTAAAAGAAATTAGAGAAAGGACCACATTTCTATGGTAGAAGCCACACATAGAGTGGACTTATTTCTATTTTTCTTATTAGAAGTATGCTTTTTTCCAAAGTATCAGAAAGTTGTCTTGAGAACAGTAAATCAGAATTTCCATGTAAAAACTTTATGAAATAAAAACAGCTAAAATAAATTAGCAATTACAAAGCTCTTTCTCATTTTCTAGGCAGGGAAATATCAAAAAAGAGAGACGAGTATTATCTATGGAAATAAAACTAAATTTCATGGTAATTTAAAATCTGTGATATAAGATTATTACTTATTTCAGGAAAAAAAAAAAAAAAAACACTTACTTGTTGTTTTGGCTCCAATCACAACCAAACACTGGAGCTGGATGTTTGTATTTGTGTAGTACTTTACCATCAATTGTTCGGATAATACTGAAATTCATTATCACGTGTTAATAGGAAAAGGACATTCTAAATACATTATTTGAGGGAACAAAGTCAAAATTGTAAGTTTCAAAGATGGAATTCTAGGATAGAAGCATTTTTGCAAATTTGTTAATAAGAAAAGGACATTCTAAATACATTATTTGAGAGAACAAAGTCAAAATTGTAAGTTTCAAAGATGGAATTCTAGGATAGAAGCGTTTTTGCAAATTAAAAGAAACATTTAAAAGTACTACATAAATAATATTGCCAGTTACAAATACATCTGTACAGATAATATTAATTATGGTAATTCACTTGAAGCAAATTAAGTGTGATAAATTTGTTTGGGGAATTATTTTTTAGTTGAGGAAAAATATAACTTAATACATTTTAAAATATAATGATACAACTAACATGGGCATTAGACTTTTAGCTTCATAATTAGGTGGTTTGAGATTTATAGTATTCGTTTATAAAGATGGTTGTATAACCATTACACTAAGACCTATAAGTTATAACATTTTGATAGCATATTCTCAGTTATATAATGAGATATTCAGAGAACACCCCTAATTCTTAGCTCCTGTAAAGGAGTCTACATTATTTAATTATTTTAAAAAGCTCTAGTACCCTATTCTATTATTGTCACAATGCAAGGAATATCAATTCCATTAGGGGGGGAAAAGCTTTGTGTAAATTAAAGTATTATAAGTTCCAAAGGGAAAAGACACTCTTAAATGAAATTAGGTCTCCCAAAACTTTTGGGGTTCCTAGTGAGTCAGGTGAAGAAGACTTAGAAATGTTTAGTTACTGAATATGGCATTTATCAAATAACTAATGCCTTGAAAATACATGACAAACTTAACGATGTATCCCTTAGTCAAAAATTCTCATGTGTATCTTTTGCAGTTTAGCATCTTCCAATTTGTAAATAGTTCCTTTAATGAAACCCATCAACTAATGTTATTAATTCTAAGAATTTTAACTTCTCAGTAAAGAATCCTTTGTTTACACAGCTTTTGTCTTCTCTATTAAAATTCAAAACTGAGGATAGGAAACTTGGATTTAGTCTAGAAAAATCCAACAAGACAAACTTCTATGTCTTCTTAGCAACCCTGAGTGTCTATATCTGTCAAAGATTACTATGCAAATAGCCAAAGGTAGCATAATATGATTTTTTAAAAAAAGTTTTAATATCAAGTCAATTCTTATGTAGTTTTGTATTTTTTTTACATAAAAAATTAATTTTTCCTGGGATTTAACAGAATTAAGAAAGAACATTTCTGAAAAACAGGATCAATGAAGTTAGCCTCTTTAAAAAAAATGAACTTCTCACTTACATCACCATGTTTCTCCTGACAAAGATGTTTTAAACTTTTATAAATAATAAATCTACAAAACTGTGAACAACTTTCTAGAGCACTTGATGTCTCCTGAACTACTTTCCCCCAAATGATCAAAAGTTTCCCCCAAAATGTGATGAGTCTTTCAAGTTTCCTTGAGGCAATTCAGTCTTTTAGCTATAATTCATGTAACATCTTTATTTAGCATGCAAATGATTGGTTCATTTTTAAAATACCATTGGATTGTTATTTGTTAATGATAAATCACAGCAATATAGTAGGTGCCTATACTGACCTGTAAATAATATTTATGATAGTTGGTATAGCTATACAAATAAGATCTCACTGATATACAACTGGAATGATCAACTGGGTCTTTCATAAATAGGATAATTTCATAATATCACACACAGTACTTACCAGAACCCATCACCACTGCAGGTTGCTATTCTTTTGGAATCTTTGTGACTCCAGGCAATGCAGAATATTCCATTTTTTCCATGCTTCAAAAAATGCAAAATTCCTATCAATAAGAAATAATTCACCCCTTTTTTCTCTTATTTACTTATTTCTTCCAAGTACTGCTTTTCTATTAGGAACTTACTCTAGGTGATACTAAAAGACATTCTTGTCAATATCAGAAACCTGAATATATACTTTAAGAATGTGTATAGGTGTCACACTTAAACAAATCCCATGTTTAAGGCACATATTGGGTGGCTTTATTTATTTATTTTTTTTGCTGAATACCACTGAAAAGTCAAAATCTGCTTCTTCAGTTATCCATAGAACTAAGCTGTGCTTAATGTCTTTTCATGTGAATGCCAGTCTGTAGATGAAGATATATATGTGTCTGCTTTCAAAAACAAGCTACTACAATTATAGTATAAGAAATATTGCAAATAACTATTATTACTGGGTCACCCTTCTAAGTCGCAAAAGGACTACTAATTACAAAAGGAGACTTAAAGTTATTCCTATAATAAATCAGTCTATGTTTACTTGCTCCTCTGCATTCTGGGACAAGGCAATAGTCTAGGGGTGTGATGAGAATTTTAAAACACAAATATACATAGGAATGCCATCCACTAACTGTGTGATGAATGAATAAGTAAAGATTATAATCAGTCCATTTCTAAATATAAATTTAAAATATTTCTATTTTATATGTATGTAAGTAGGATTTAAATTGTGACAGCCATTAAGGGAAAAACTAAAGTGGCTTTTTTTTAGTACAGGGGAGTGAACCCAGGGGCATGTAACCACTGAGCTGCATCCCCAGTCAATTTTTTTTTTTTTTTTTTTTTGGTAAGAGACAGGGTCTCACTGAGTTGCTTAGGTCCTCACTAAGTTTCTGAGGCTGGCTTTGAACTTGAGATCCTCCTGCTTCAGCCTCCTGAGCTGCAGGGATTATAGATGAGCACCACTGCACCTGGCTAAAGTGGCTTTTTATTTTTATTTTGCATCTTCAAGTTGCTTTAAAAATATACAGATTCCACTTCTTAAGGGAGTGTCCAGTTTGTCTTTACCTCTTTGGGCATCAAGGAAAGTAAATTTATACAAGTGGACATAAAAAATATAGTCCATATATTTATTTAGTTTGAGGGGTAGAGAGAACTTCATTTTTCTTTTCCATGAAAAGGGCATTTATGGCTAATTCCTTGCATTTCTTTTGTGGGGACTCATATAGTTTAGTTAATTAAAGCTAGCTTTAAATTTCCTCATATTTATAACATGGACTTGAGGTAATTTTGATGTTGGTCTTAACTGTGATTGAGTGCTGGGGAAATACTGAATGAGCCTAAGAGATATGCTTGATATTATGAGACTGAGTTGCTAGAATTAGTTGGAACTTCTTAAGTGTTAATGGATAGACATTTTAGGTCAAAAGGTGCCAAGATGCAATAAGAATAAATCAACAAATCTGCTAAGCAAGGATACCATTTAAAATCTTGATCAAAACTTTCATCTTCCTGCTCACTTCTTTTATATCTCATTATTTGTTATGGGATAGGTTGTTCTGATGATGGGAACAGGTTGGGGCATTGCTGAACTGAAAGAATATTGTTTCATTATATTTAGAGAAAGGGAAGGATATAATTCATATCATCTTTATGAAAGTTTCTTTGTTTAAGTACAAAATTGCTTACTGGTGGTTAGAAAAATTTCTCATAAATGCATTTGCTACATTACTATAGAATCCTCTGGGAGATCAAGGCTATGAAATGCCATCCTTAATGGTATTAAGAGTCTTTTGTATAAATGGTTTTAAAGTTTCAAATAAATAAATAATTTCCCAAGGCATTATATATTTAATAAGCTTCAACAGAAATTGTTTAAAATAAATTAAATCTCAAGATATTGAGACAATGCTAGATCCTATTCCTGTTGTCCCAATCATACACAACATTACAATGAGATCATATAAATTTTTCAAGTATTAATGGAACTCAGACACAGAATGATAATTTAAGCCTAAGGATAAATACAATCTGTGGCATTACATACAGGAAAAGGGCCAGTTTTAGAGCATGTCATGCAATAATAGAATTTAGGACTGAGGAAATTAAAGAAATTATGGAATAAAACTTTATAATTTTATAGGTGAAAAACAGATTCAAGACAATAAAACAGAACCAGGACTATAATTTGGGACTTCTGATTTTAGTTTTCCTCTCATTATTTAATATTTGTCTAGTTTTAGTGGAGGATGACTTAACAGTCTTTTGAATCTGTAATGAGACTTCAGGTGAATTTTTATGTCTTAGCTATAATTCTCACAATGAATTTTAGCATGTGAATACCTCCTTGCATATTCCTCTAATTGACAGAAAAATATGCCCCCAGGCTATCATCTGTTGATTAAGAAAGAAAACATTTACAAAATAGGTAGTATAAGATACCATGCTATTTAGTAGTGGTAGACATAGCTTACCTCATTAAATCGCTGTATCATTTTGCCCTTTTGAACATCCCAGATAAAAGCACCATTTTGGGAAGTTGCCCCAGCAATACAATTCAAGCCGCCTTAGGAAATAATACATTAGACATTATATATTAAATATGTGCCACAAATGTAAGTCCTTTCAAATATGTAATTTTTTTAATGTAAAACTTGAGATTTGTTATTTATAATTGCATATATTTATCAATGCATCAAATCTGGAGAGGAGAATACAATGAATGTATCCACTATATAACTTCAACAATTATCAAAATATAGTCAATCCTGTTTCATCTATCCTTTACTGGACATCTTTGGAACATATCTGATATCATATTATTTGGTTAATAAATAAATATATCTAAAAGACATGGATGGTTTTATTATCAATAACAAACTAACATAATTAAACCATAAAAATTATCAATAGTTCCTCAATATTATCATATATTTAATGGCTATTCATTCTTCTTTAATAACATTTTAGTAATGAGGAGAATACTTTTGTAAACAAATCACATGAAAAAATATTTTTCAAAAGCATAAACAATACCTTCTATTTTTAAGAAATAAAATATATCTGTGAAAATAAAACTACTATTAAGTTAGCAGATGGTCAAGGACCTAAGTATTTTTTGCAAGACAATGAAAGTAGAGGTTTCTTCCCACTAGAAGGAAGGAACAAGCTGGAAGTATGAACATGCAGGAATACCCTGTGATAAATTATCATGAATATTAAAAGTCATCATATTTCTAGTATTTTTATTCTATTGCTCCCTTTGGGTTCTCAAATCACTTCCAAATTTTTTTACAGTTTTTTTTTCTTTTCTTGGGGTATATATTCTAGAATTTGGAAGAAATTATGTAATAATTAATATCCTATTTCCATTCCTGTCAAGATTCATCTTTTAAATTTCATCCACATTTACCTAAAAACCATGATTCATAACTAATCACACAGTAAAACATGACAGAATTTCCATTTTTTAACATTTTTTTACTTTCTTGATGCAAATTATCAATGTAGAGAGTGAAAGACTGCTTTTGGTAAGAGCAGGTCTGTGTTATAACTTGAAACAATGGTTCTCATATTCAAAATCTTTACTTAAGTTTTAAGTTTGAGACATATACATTTTGTATGTTCAGCTGATAGGCTGGTCCAGTTGCATACTGCTGGCCAGGAGAACCTGCCACACAGTTGTGTACTGCAATGATTAAGAACACAAGCTTAGGTATACTCTATTTAATAAAGAGACAAACACCAACTATCATTAAGAATTATAAGTAAAATATTTTTTTCTAGACATCTCATTGTATATGAGAAATACAGAAAGTCCTTAACCTTTTTGTGTCATGAACCTCTCTGAAAATCTGATTACTATTACATTTTTTGATAGATATAGGCAAGCGCGTCTGCACGCACACACACAAACACAAACTAAAAATTATTCATAAAATCTCAAGAGATTTTCAGATTCCTTGAAGACATCTAAATACCTTGGAGACACATAAATTCAAGGTTACAGAATCCCCTTGTATAATGAAATAAGTTTTTTAAAAAAGGGTAAGCTATATCCTGGTTATACATTATAATTAAATTAATATATTATGATAAGTAAGTGAGCATATATATAGTATAAAGTGAAAATCCATTTAAAGGTAAAACATAATTTTTTATGGAAAAATAATGTCTTTGGAGAAGTGTCAGATTATGTAAGACACTTCTCCTTTATAAATAGGAAGGTATGGCCATGGTTGTGCCCGGCTGTAATCCCAATGACTCAGGAGGCTGAGTTTGGCCAGCCTCAGCAAGTTAGGGAGGCCCTAAGCAACTTAGTGAGACCCTGTCTCAAAAAAAGGGCTGGGAGTATGGCTCAGTAGTAAAGCACCCCTGTGTTCAATCCTCAGTACCTTAATAAATAAGAAGGTATAAGGTAGCATCTTTCTAAGATTAAAGAAAAATCACATTAAGGCATGAAAATTCTTCAAAATTACAAAAGTATAATTTATATAGAATTAAGTTGTTACAATTGAATTATTACTTGATATATAATCACCCATACTTACAAAACAGATGTGACAGGCGCAATAGTCTTTTATAATTTTTAGAAAATAAATTTTTGAGCCAGGCATGGTGGTGCATACCTGTAATCACAACAACTTGAAAGGCTGAGGCAGGAGGATTGCAAATTCAAGAAGAGCCTCAGCAACTTAGCAAGACCCTAAGTAACTTAGTGGGAGACCTCAATCTTCAAAGAAATAAAAAGGGCTGGGGAAGTGGCTCAAAGGTTAAGTACTCTAGAGTTCAGTACCAAGTACCAAAAAAGAAAAAAAAATTGTTTTTATTTTCACAAATTTGGTTCACATGAAAATTTCAGGAAATCTTTTTTTTTTTTTCATGTAAAACATCATACCTTTAACCACATAGCTATACAAATATTGTAAAAGTCAAGCTCATTCAGGTTTACTGTGGCTTTTCTCTGTATGACTCTTTTTTGTGTGTGTGTGTGGTGCTGGGGTTTGAACTCAGGGTCTTTACGCATGTGAAGCAAGCACTCTACCAAGTGAGCTATATCCTCAGCCATGACTATATAATTTTAAAGGGCTCAGGAATCAAAGTGTATCTGCCAATATTCATTTTAAAACCTAACATGAACTGAACTAACCAAACATTGGTACTAATTTGCCTCTATGATCATTTGGAACAAAAGACATCTGGAGGAAAAAAGATAATTAAAATGAAAATAAAGTTTAGGAAAGTCACTTGATTGCATTCGTATTTTAATAAAATGTTTCTTACCTGGAGCCCATGAAAGGGAATAAATAACCCCTTCATTACCCGGGGAAGTATACATTGCTGTTAATGTGTTTATATCCCAAACTTTTATAGTACCATCAAATGAAGCTGTTGCTAAAAGATTCGGATCATCAGGTTTAAATTTGCAGTCAAAGATAGTTTCCACATGTCCCTGAGAATGCAGTATAAAAAAGTCACAACTACTGAGGAAAATCTACATTACTAAAAAACAACCCATAATGTATAATTCAAAGTATATGATACATATAATATGGTTTTCCAGATATTAATGCAAATATACATAGGCAAACAAAAAATATAAAGTGGAATCATTGCTAGGGTTTAATGTTCTTTGTGGTGTTTTATTCCAGTTTGCATATCCCTTAACCAAAATGCTTGGACCAGAAGTATTACAGATTTCAGATTTTGAAATGTTTCATATACATAATGAGATATATTTGGGATACAATTCAAGTCTAAGTATGAAATTCATTTATGTTTCATAAACACCTTATATGCTTAGGCTGAAATTATTTTATGGAATGTTTCTAGCACATGTGACTTTTTACTGTAACCTTACAAGTCACAGATGACCTGTCAACTATGGGATTTTCGCTTGAGGCATTATTTTATTAACATTCAAAATAGTTTCAGATTTCAGATTTTGCAGTTAGGGATGTTCAACCTGGATTTTGTACAGACCTGGATTTTACTAAACCACAGTTCTTCAAATCAGCAACTAAATTCAAAGATGTTCAAAAGTTTCATTTTTCAATTTTAATTAAATGCAAAACATTCTTCTGATTTTTGAATGTACAGAATCCTAAGCTAGACATTTCTCCTCTGCCCAGTACTAGAGATTTAACCAGGAGTGGGTTAACTTCTGAGTCACATCCTCAGTCTTTTTTATTTTTTGTTTTGAGACAGGGTCTAACTAGTTGCTTAGGCCTTGCTAAATTGCTGAGGTTGGCCTCAAACTTGCCATTCTCCTGCCTCAGCCTTTCAAGTCTCTGGGATTATAGGCATATGTCATTTTATCCAGCCTAAAGTAATTAACTCTTAATAGTTATTATATATAATTCTTGCAGTATAACATAAGACAACAAGGATGTTGAAGCTATAAGCCCATTAATGAAAATATTCCTTTTTTATACAAATGACATACCCCAAAAGCATTTTGAATTTCAGCAGATATAGAATCAGTCATGGCTCCAATTTTTAATGGAATTTTTTATAAAAATTTCTAAAGTCTACTCTTTGGGATTTGGAATAATTGTTAATGTTACAGGGTGATTCAGATTCCAAACACCCACGAGAGTGTAAAGCGGTATATATAACAGATACATGTAAACATATACCTAGAAAGTGACAAATAATCACTATGTGCCTATCCAACATCTGTTAAAAACCAACTTAAATGGCCAGATTTATATTTTGTCTTCTCCCAAATATTAGGAAATAGGAATTGAAATTCCTGCTTTAAGCAGCAGAACTGCAATATGTTGGGATCAAGGGAGGGAGTTAAAAATACAAGGACAAGGCTTTCTATTCCTCAACAATGTTGTAAAGATAGAGAAGGACATCCTTTCTACTCCATGTATTTCTATTAACACCAGAAATCACAACCTTTAGGAAAATGCAGAAGTACTATAAGGTCTCTCACTTAGGTGAAGGTGTTGGAAAGAAAAATCCCAAAGGTTAGAAAAAAACGAAATGAAATTGTTATAGCCACTGGTTCACCTGGCTGGAGTTGTTCTAGCTGGCCATTTCTCATGATAAGAACATACTTAAGGCAGTAATTGTCTACATGTGCACTTTTAAATGTTATTTTATTGTTACACATTCAAATTCCATTTTTGAAATTCTGAAAATTCACCTAGAAGAAATTAAATAGAAATATTTTTTCTGTATTCTTCTAACCAAAAGGAAAGTAAGAATAAAGAGGAAAACATAGCTTTTTTTTTTCTTTTTTTCTTTGGTAGTTTTAAACAGATAAACATTATTATGGAAATAGTCTTTTATAATGTATAATGGGATTAAGTAAACTGGAATCTTTGGAGGAAATATTTCTTCTAGTAATATTCCTAGTAATTTCAAATTTGTAGCAGTGTTAAAAGAATGTTATAAGGAGAAAAATGACAGCCTCTTTTGACTGAAAGATATTTTTAAAAGGAGAAAAGCCACTGGAATAACACAAAAACTTTTAGTATTAATTAGATTTTCAAATTTAACATAGGTTTTCAAACAAAATGTTTAAATATGAAACATTTAAACATTTAAACCTATATACTTAATAGAAAATTTATTAAATTCAATTGTATGATTTCTCTTCTACTAAAGCACATTTTATATATTTCAAGGTGTTACATTTTTCTCTCTTCCCTGTTATAAATTTGTTTGAAAATAAATGGTAATTTAAAGTATAGAAAAAGTTTCAAACTGGGAAAGAGTTTATAAGGAAAAAAAAGTTAAAGTAAAAATAAAATTAAATCATTTTCAAATAAACATCTAAAAAATAAATATTTTAAAATAACTAAGCTACATATTGTTTCAGAAATATTTTTGATAGAGTTCAATTTAATTTTTTAATTTAATTTTTAAATTTGAGAACAAAATGAAAGGAGCAGTATTAAAATGATCCAATCTTATTTAGTTCTTCTTTTATTAAAAGCTCAATTTAAGTCTAGAGTCCATTCCTAAGTAAGATCACAGGAAAGTAATTAACAACAAAGTTTCTTAAGTGTCTAGATTAATCTATTTCAAACCTGTGGGTAACAGGATTATTTTTATAATGAAGGAGATGAAGGAAGATGATTCTTGATTAATGAATTACAACATAAAATCCATTATTGCATGTTTTCATTCATTCAGTCAACAAAACTTAAGTCTTACTATGTGCTAGGCACTGTACTGGGTAGTGGGGATGCAAATGTGTAAAAACACAAAGAGACTGTATTGCATCTTATATCAGGGCTTAATGATGATAAGAACAGAATTCATAGAATTATAGAAGAGTTATTATCATTCATTCATAGAAATAAGTCTTATAAAACGCCTAATCCAATTTTACTCAATTCATAGAGGAAATAAAAACAATAAGGTTTGGAATAACTGACAGGGATTGATTTCTTTCCTCCTGAAGCAATATTCTATGTCTTATTTTGCTTCCAACTTTTTTTTTTTCTCTTGTTTTGCAGGGGCTGGAACTTAGAGCCTCACTCATGCTAGGCAAACACTCTACCACTGAGCTACATCTCAAGCTCCTGCTCTGTGTTTTTTTCACTACATAAAACACATGGTTAGCAGATATTAATATTTTTAAGTTTATTTATTAACATTTAAATAATTTTAATAATTTTGTCATTATTCTGTGCATTTTCAAATGTTTCAGTCAACTAAGAAAAAGTCTTAAAAAATCACTGCTTACAAAAATAATTTTAAAGAATATCAACACAAAGGCAAAAGTAAACATGATAGATTTATGCAAAGTTAAGTGCTTTGTGTAATAGAAAGAATGATCATAGACATACCAAGTCCCTAAGAAAATCCCACTTCTTGGCTCCCATATCATAGAGACCAACTCCACCATCTAAGAAACAGCACACTGCATGACCAGGAGGAAGAGAAAATGCTTGATTCTGTGTCAAACTAGGGGGTGGAACTGCTTCACTTGTTGAGGATGTATAATGATTTTTGTTTGAAGACTGGATTGAAACTAAAAAAGAAAATGAATAAAAAAGTAAGCATTTATGTCAATAGCTTCCCAGTATAATGAAACCACGGTCTTAATTTAAAGATGCTTCATTGCTTCATTTTGTTTTAAAATCCAGAATCTATATCAATGATCACAATTTCTGCTACATGAGCACTTTGGCAACCTTAGCCAGAAAATGTGGAAATATAAGCATAGAACTGGATTTTATTTTGAAAAGGTGTATAGGAGAACAGATGGACTGAAATGGATAAAAGTTAATGTGCAAGGAATCACAATCTGTTGTGAATATTTGGTTTCTTATCTCCCCATAAATTAATGCACAGCATGATTATTTTTAAATATAATCTCCCTTTAAAATATTGACATAGCATTTTAATATTCTCCCCTCCACATTCTACATATATTGATTTTTTTCTTCTTAAAGCTAATAATTCTTTGCCACTAAATTCCAAGTGAATAAAAACAATTATTTTTGAGATTATTTATAATTCAGCGTTCAAAATAAGAATCACAAGAGTGTCTGCTTTACATCTGCATCTCAATTATTATTATTGTTTTTTTAAACAGAGAGAGAGAGAGAGAGAGAGAGAGAGAATTTTTTTTTAATGTTCACTTTTTAGTTTTTGGCAGACACAACATATTTGTTTGTATGTGGTGCTGAGGATCAAACCCGGGCCACGCATGCCAGGCGAGTGCGCTACCGCTTGAGCCACATCCCCAGCCCTCAATTATTATTTTTTCTTCCTCAGTTTTTTTTATTTTTCAGACTTCTGTTTCTCTTATTTTCCATTATATAAATATCTCCTTGTTCAATTATTTTTTTTGTATTTTATCTTTCTAGATTTTCCTTAAGAGTATGACTATTTTCTTGCAAACATAATCCAAAATAATGCCACTATATATTATCAGATCTTTCTTTTTTAATTGAACTAAAGTTTTCCTTATCATATTCATTATAGGCAAAACTCATTTCTCTGAACCTGAGAGTGATAGGAAGTCCAAATTATACTGAACAATGAATAAAAAAGAGACATTTGGTAGCAATAGTTTTGATAAAATATTTCTGAGAGTTGAGTTAAAAGTTAATATGATCCATGACTATTTTTCTAATATTTTTATTATTTGATATCATGAGTGGTCTTGATGACATTTATACATCAATTTATAATTTATTATTTTTAGAATTCAGTGAGTATGTCCATATTTTAAAATTTTATTTTCATAAATGTCTAACAATAGGTCATCCAAAAGGCAATACTCAAAAATAACAACATTGGCTTAATTTTATATTCTGACTTTTGTCTGATGGATACAGACTTCTTTTTGAATAAGAAAAAATATCAATGAAAAGAATTTGAGCTATCTCAATCATTACATGATATGGAAATTCACATCCACTGAACAAAGTAACAAATCATGACATAAAAATGTATGAAATATAAATGATATGCCAGCTTTTGGTATGTTACCTCATCAGTCCTGATATTTCTAGACTCTCAAGTTTCCAGTCTAGAAATATTAGAACTCCATGAAAAAGCTGAAATTTGTGGAAAGTCCAAGGATTCAAATAGAGAGATTTTTCCTTTATGTACCACTGTCAACTAAATTAGATACCAAAATAATATTACTTTAAGTAGTCACTACTAATTATTAGTATATTATAAAGGTAAAAAGGCTTGAGTAAGGAGGAATCAATAGCTGTAGATTTTCCAAACACAAATTCCCCCCTCCATATTTTTTATGATCCATGCCAAATGGAAACATTACCATTTGCATAGTTTAATCATGACAGACCTAAGAGGAAGTCAATTTATTTTCTCTTACCTTTAATAAAAATTCCAATTCTGAACTTCCTCTACATTCCCTATCTTTTCATTTATAACTTAAGTATGCTTTATTATTTTTCTTAATTATAGAAGCAATGAATGAAAATCAGAAAAAAATATATGAAAATAAATGAAGAGTATATAGAATGCCCAGTTCTAAATACTAATCCAGTGAAAAACAGGCTTCAAACATGAAATATATTTTCTAGATTCCATAATTTGAATATTTAGGTTATTTTATCTTTGTTATAAACTATACAGATGGTAAATGAGCCATGTTTAAAACAAATTCTCCTAGTCAAACCAATTTTGTTTTATCCCATTATTCTTGATATTTCTAACTTTTTTTTAACCACTATTATTATTTCATCTTCCTCACAGAGATAATTTAAGATTAATTTGAATACAATTAACAGCACTTTGGCTCCAAATATTGTAAACCTAGGGCTGGGGTTGTGGCTCAGTGGTAGAACACTAGCCTAGCACATGTGAGACACTGGGTTCTATCCTCAGCACCATGTAAAAATAAAAAGTAAAAAAACAAAATTTAAAAAAAGAATCTTACACTCATTGAAAAAATATATTGTCAGTGATATTAGTTATTTTGTGGCTTTGGTAGTTCCTTTATTTTCTTTACTGCATCTATATATACACACCTATATATCTGTAGAGAATATATATATAAATCTGTAGAGAATATTTCTAAGAAATTGCATCTCAGTTGCATTTATTATTTGATACATTTATATCACTACACATCACTTCAATAAGAAATATAATTTAAAATGTTAACATTTTGATAATATTTTTTACTTACACTTTTTTCTTGGAGGAGAATTAAGTACATGCAAGCAGTGAAATCCCGTTTTCTTTAATTTAAAATTATCAATAGGTGTTGTTCTTGAAACATTCCAAATGCGTAAAACACCCACTTGAGAATCTAATCAGATGATGAAAAAACCAAGTGTTAACAAATTTTGTTCAAAATTTAAAATGTCCAGATGTAAAAATAAAAACAAAAACTTCCATTTGCAAAATTTTAGCACTGATTATTGACGTGGTTTGAACAATAATATAGTATGGTATTGCAATCAAAGAAACTACAAAAATGTTATTCAATTTTTAAATTTGGAGATATTTTTCCCCTACTACAAACCCTTTCATAGGGTTAGACTCTGCCTACTTTTGCAGCTTCCCGTGGTAAAGATCATTATAACAGTTTTATCATAAAACCATTCCACTGACATACACTTACTCTAGGAAACTGTTAGCTACAGAAAACTATTAATTTTTATTTATTTTTTGTTTTAGTTGTAGATGGACACATACCTTTATTTTATTTACTTATTTTTATGTGGTGCTGAAGATCGAACCCAGTGTATTGCACGTGCAAGGCAAGTGCTCTACCACTGAGCTACAACCCCAGTCCCCAAACTATTTACTTTTAACCATTATATAATCCTTCCTATTTTGAAATGTTTGTAAATGCTCCATTGTCCATGTTCATCTCAATAAGGATTTTCAAATATACTTGAAGACCAACAGAAAGTCTTCCTTCCAAATATCCTACCTTAATAGAAACTTTGATAAAGAATCTGAAAAGTTCCCCAAACTTTCAAAAAGAACTACCATATGACCCAGCAAATTCCACTCATAGGCATATACTTAATAGATTTATAAATATATGTCTACACTAAAACTTATACATAAATGTTTGACAATATTTTTCATAAAAGCATAAAATAGAAACACTAAGTATCTATGAATAAAAATCTGGCATATCCACATAATGGAATAATATTATTGAGCCATAACAATGAATGAAGTACAGATACATGCCACAACATGCATAAAACTTCAAGTATTTATGTTGAGTAAAACATGACAAAAAAGGTCACATATGGAATGATTTCATTTATATTAATTGTCCAGAGTAGGCAAATCCACAAAGATAGAAAGCAGATGATCAGTTTATGTATGTCCATGGGTATGTTAGGGGCTATTGAGAAGGAGTAATGGAACATGGCTGTTAAAGGGTACAGGGTTTGCTGGGAGTCATGAAATGTTCTGTAATTGTAATGTTCTGTAATTGGATAGTCATATTGGTTGTACTAGAAATGTACTAGAAACCACTAAATTGTATCCTTCAAAACTGTAAAATGTTATGATAGGTGAAATATCTCATAAATAATAACAATAGATACATGCTTTTATTCATTAACTCCTGTGAAATGACAGGATGTGTGTGTGTGTGTGTGTGTGTGTGTATCCATACATCTATTTCCATCTACTTCTATGTGGAAATTAAGTACTAAAGAAGTAAAGATTTCTTAAAAAATGTTGAGGTGATAAAAATCTTATTTATTTTGTACTAAGCAAATATAAGAAACATTTATACAGTAGCTGACAGTACTATTTCTTCAGAGGCCTCTTTCTCTGAACCATTTTCAATTTGGTTCATGAAAACCTTTGGGTTTGCCTAATTGAATCTGGTCAGGAGCTATCAAAATAATTATTAGTAAAGCTAATGGAACTCCTATCTAGGCAAACTGTTTTTCTGGTCATCCTGCCATTCCTGAAGTTAAACTTTGTCTTCTGTACACACATAAACACAGACACACATGTGTGCCCATACATAATATATCACACTGTATTTCCATATACTTAGAACACTGGGTCTTAATTTTATTTTTATTTGTAATTATATAAATGACATAACCATATAAATTAAAAGTAAATTCAGCATTTACTATAATTAAAGAAAATATTTGAGAAATTAACAAGTCTTACACAAATTAACTACTAAAAGACTATAATTTCCTTTATTCAATTAAAGAATGTATACATAAATAACATTCTGAGGAGTAGGGATGAGTATACCTCCAGTTATAAACATGCCAGGAGCACTGGGAACCCAGGCTAAGCACTGTATAGAAGCTGCTACACTTGGAAAATTAAATGTTGTTATGCAATAAAGTGATTCAGAATCTACTAGGCGAATTCCATAATGCAAATTAGCCACGAGAAGATAATCAGTAGAGAGTGGGTCCCATTCCAGGGCTGTAATTGGATCCTCTTCATCTGTTCCTTCAAGAGATTCAGGTCTCAAAACATGTTTCTGATTTTTATTACCTATTAAAATATAAAGAAAATTGTTTCTCAAAGAGTCACAAGAAGGTCAATAATTTAAATCATGTTAATTTTCTCCTTGTGTACCACCAATCTCTGGGAGGCCTGAGAATGCAAATCTGGCATTTTTATGCAGAAGGTATAATTCACATATAAATTCAGGGGAATTAGTTTGTCCTAATAATGAAGGTCAGACTGAACTGCTTTGCTTTGGAAATCTCTAGTGCCTTAAATGTTTCTATTTGTGAATGAAAAGCTATAAGAAAAAGACACAGGTAAATAATGTACTTAATCTTTTCAACAACAAATTTCACCTAATTAATACTACAAAGGAATAAGAAAGTCCTTATAGAAATGAAGAATATCAAACAGTGATTAAAAGCACAGACCTTGAGAATGAGAGGATGATGATGATAATTGCTATAATAAAGAGTGATGCATATTAATATAGTTAATTATTACAAAGTAGAGAGTGATTTTAAAAAAGAACTTATTAACCAAAGCTTTACCCTTTCTTAAGTAAGTTTGTGGCTTTCTTTTTTTTTTTAATATTTATTTATTTTTTTAGTTTTCGGCAGACACAACATCTTTGTTTGTATGTGGTGCTGAGGATCGAACCCGGCCCACACACATGCCAGGCGAGCACGCTACCGCTTGAGCCACATCCTCAGCCCATGTTTGTGGCTTTCTTGTCAGTCAATATTTATGATTTATTAAAAATATTCTAGCATATAAAACAATCAAATGACAGCAACACAAAATGGGAGAATTTGTAGTTTAATCCTATAACGTCTAAATTAGGTTGCTTCAAAGTCCTATCCTATAGTCAAAATCACAGTGGTTTATATTCCCTATTTCATTTTCTATGTGGTAGGCTGGTATTTTTATTGTAAAACAGAAATAAATCTATAAAATTTTGCAGGCAGTCATGGGAGCAGCAGGTAATTGTTTTACTTTTATGTTATCATGTTAATGCTCTATTTTATTATGCAAAATCAGGTAATTTGTCTTGTTAGATAAGGACAGAAGCATATGATATGAATAAATCAATAAGAAGATAGTTTTGACAATTTCTACAGAAAAATTTAAAATGAAAGCAAGGAAAAATTGGGATGAAAATATAAAGATAACATAGTCATATAGCTGTCAAAATTTTGATTTTGAGATAAGGTGGATAAAGCAAAGAGGAAATTATCAGGAAAGGTTGTACAATTCACAATGTCTCTAGGATAAAAACAAAAAGAATAAACAAAACATATACTTAGGAGAAGCACAATTTTTCCTACATTTGGGATCAGAAATATCTTCTGTGTGCTTTAAAAAGGTAGACATAGTGTTACACAGGGATAATGTCATCAACAACATTTTTAAAATTAAAAACATGTAAATCTTATTAATGCATATTCATGAAATAGTAAATGAATGACCAATTAGACACTCTACAGTGAATGTTAAAAAAGGAAGTTCTTTGCTGAACTTGGTCTAAAAACACAATTTGAATTAACTAAAAAAGTTTGTAACTTTTTCTGCCCTGAAATACTCTTTTTTAAAAATATTTTTAGTTATTGATAGACCTTTATTTTATTTATTTGTATGTGGTGCTGAGAATCAAACCCAGTGCCTCACACATGCTAGGTTGTAAGAGTAAAAGAAATTAAAGTTAAATGTAAAAGACCGGGTATTGTAAAGTTTCTAAGCTGCAAAGCCTGAGTTAAAATGTAAAGGACCAGGTATTGTTAAGTTCCTATGCTACACCCAAAACCTGAAATTCCTGTAGCTGTTAGGACAATTCCTGGGACTGCCAAGTAGATAATCCCCCTGACCATTTAGTTGTTTAATAACCTAGGACCCTGTGCAGTTCAGCACGTAGGCACCTCAGGGCCTAAACCAGTTTGAATGTGTACCCCGCTTTAGGACTAACCTATCACCTCCGTCCGACCTGTTCCCGCCAATGAATGTACTAATCATGTTTAAGAATTGTTGTTTGATTTTCCCGCGGTGTATGGTGATTTGTTAAAGGAGACTGTGATGTTTGTAAAGTCCCCGCCCTCCCCAAAAAGTGTACTTAAGCACTGCTCAACCCCTGCTCGGGGCTCTGGGCCGCTCTCCCTTGTTGAGTGAGCAAGGAGCCCCAGCGCGCTGGATTCTTCAATAAACCCCCTTTTGCGGTTGCATGAGTCGGTCTCTTCCTCCGACGTTCGACCTTCGCCGGACCCTTACAAGGTAAGCATGCTACAACTGAGCCACAACCCCATCCCTCCTATAATACTTTTTAAGAGAATTTTTACATGAAAATACTATATATAAATCAGAATAAAATGGTGCTTTATAGGCTGAAAGGGAACAGAAGGCTTAGAGTCCATCTGGATTTCCTAACAAGTCCCTTACCCCCAATATACACATAAACATACAAACATACAAAACACAGTTTAGAAGTGAAATATTTAAAATGATAGATGAAATGCATTTTATATTGAACAATAGTCCATAAATATTTTTCTAATAGAAATTTCAGACAACAGAGAGCTTGATATCATAACTTCCTGAAATAACCTAGAAGACAGAAATCCTATATTGTAAAATGGGAATCATCTGTGATGCCATAAAGTCATTAAGAAGGTATAGTTGACAATGTCTCATAAAAATAAGAAGCCTAACAAAACCTTACAACTATTAATGCTAACAATTCCAAACTCACAATCCAGAATTCAATGACAGAATTAAAAGGTAGAGCTTCCCCATGATCTATTAATTCAATGTCTACACAAAAGGAAAATACCTAGTAGGATTTATCTTTTGTTAATGTTTTATGTATTTTTATGCTAAATAAATCCTACAGAATAAATAAAGTTAAGAAGTCTGTGGGGGTGTTGAGGTTGTGGCTCAGGAGATGGCCATAAGGACAAATCACAAAATATAAGAAAAACAGAGACAGCATTTTAGACCCCCCCCCCAAAAAAAAAACACTGTTCATAATCCTCTTCAGATCTCAGGCAGCACTGAGATTCCTTGAGAAAAAAGTGTCACCATACTGATGAAATCTCTGGGTTAAAGACAACCAGAAGCTAAATAGGGTAATATCCTTAATGAGATCTGGTTAAATAACCCAGAAAGCAGAGAGGTAAGAGGAGAAACCACACAGCATACAGCCATTTTACTGTACATATATTACCTCCTAAAATTCTCAGAAGAGTGAGCATAGGAGAGAAAAGTGATCTTCACAAGGTCAAAGCAGAGAAAGTATGTTAGTTTTCTTGCTTAATTTAACTGTGAGCCTTAATGACCAACTCTACAACAGAGTTTGCTCCCAATGTAGAAGATATAGTGAAGAAGTGATGATTCAGGTATTCAAGTCAAAAATTTAAATGAAGCAATAGCCATTGAACTCTCCTCAACCTAATCTACCAAGTACATGAAATGGTCCCTACGCTCAATTCGCTCAATTCGTTTAAACTAGAAAGAACAGAGGGTGTGTACAAAGAACAGAGGGGGAAACTGGTAAAGAAAAATATTTGTATCTATTTTAGATTCTGTTTAAATTGTACCAAGACATAATGGCTTCATTTTACCAATATTTTATATACTCCTTTCTTAAATTAAAAAAGATTATTTACTAAAGAAAGATTTATTTAAAGTTTCACAATTCCTTCTGTTCAATTTTAATGTCTTTTTCTATTAATTTCAGATAATTTGAAATTTAATGTTTTATAAAAGTAATTATCGCTTCCTGAAAAAGTTATTTTATCTATCTAGCTATCCAATAGTCACATACAGAAACACAGATGACAGAAGGCTAAAAATAGTTTTTCCAAAAAGTTAACAATGCTTATTTAGAGGATAGAGCAATTCAGGTAATTTTTAAAATCATACTTTTTGTTACTGCCTAAATTTTTAAAATGAATAAAAAATAATTTCTCAAGTCCTTTCATTCAGCCAAATTAATTAACTAGGGGTTCAAAGAGTTACTTTGTGTTTTTATGACAGGTTTAAATCCATTTTTAAGGAACCATGGAACCAACATGTTTATCAGCAGGTGAGAAAATATTTTGGAGGGTTTTAGTAAATCGTCATATCTTCCAGCAACATGTTCTTGTTCATTTAGGTTAGTTTCTTAGTCAGAAATAAAGAATTGACTTAAAAATTATAAATATGGGGAAAATGAATGATTTGGATAAATTCAAAACAAGATTTTTACAACCAAGTGAAATTACAATGCCTACAAATAAAATTTACTTCAATGACTATTTGGAGTCAACCCAATTTTAAATAATATTTTCAGAAATAATATTTTAAAATTACAATTTTGTTACTGTTCACTCTATATATTACTACAATTTAGATCTTGAATGTTCCCCAAAGGCCCATGTGTTAAAGGTTTGGCCCCCAGCCCATGGCATTATGAGGAGGTAATGGAACCTTTAGAAGGAGGGGCATTGTGGGAAGCTAAAAGGTCATTGAGTCATACTCACAAACATATTTGTCGGACATCACACTTCCCTCTTTTTGTTTCCAGATGCTCCTGCTAAGATATACTATGTCACCAAGCAATGGAGTCATTCGGTCATACACTGAAAGTTTTAAAACTGTGAGCCAAAATACACCTTTCTTCTTTTTAAGCTTATTTGTCTCAGATACTTGTTATAGTAATGGGAAGCAAACTAATATATGCATGTAAATAAGAAAGCACATCTTCTATAAAATACATAATTAAGCAACTAGACTCATTAAATTCTTACCTGGCTGAAAAACTGATAGACTTCCATCAATATGACCAAACACAACTTTCCCCTTTTTTTGTGTATGCCATCTGAAAATACAGATATCAGACAAGAAGCTATGGGCTTCCTTGTGTACAGTCACTCCACTATCTGGTCCTGATATGGTCCAAATGAATAGTGGGCCTCTGTGGGAAACAAATGCTACAGCATCATCTGCATTCCAGCACCAGCTAAGAGAGGCAGGCACTCCTGGAATAAATTAAACACAGAAACTTAATAGAAAGATGTAGCACAAGATTGTACCATTAAATATTCCTTGTACTGTACATTTTTAAAACTAATAAAAATTCAAAAGTATGTTCATTATTTTAAAAATACATTACTTTCTTATTTCTGAATAGGATTTATAAACTAATCCCCCAAACTACAGAGACTATATGTAGAAACTTTCAGAATGAAAGGAAAAATACCTACTTCGGTTCAAATATTAATAAAATTGTCATGTGTCATGTACTCAAATTTATAGAGTTCCTTAATTTAGTACACTATATATTAAAGCAACAAATACTTATCATGTGTATCTAAGATTTCTAGACATTTTAGATATACAATGCAGTATGAAATAAAGTAAAGGTTCTGAAATATAAATTGAGGACAATGAGATAAACGCATAAAGAGATCAATGCTACTATAAAGATTAATAATAACAAACAATGCTACAGTCTATATCATTCAGGAATTTAGATTCAAATTCTAGCTTTGCCTCAGATGAGCTAAAAAAATTACTTTCTCTAAACTTTTGTTACCTCATCTATAAAATGGAAATAATAATAAAAGTAATTGACTACTTATTTCACATGAATGTTAAGAAAATATAATAATGCATGTAAAATTACCTTTTAAATCGTAAATAAAATACAAAAGCTAATTGTTAATGTTCCTACTATTATTGTGACCAAATAAACTATATATAAAGTAGGTGTTTGGGAAATGCATGACTCAAAAGAGAAATTTTGAACTCTTCCAGCACAGATAGATTGACTATCAGAATCATAAAATTGAATATAATATATCAGGTCATGTGGAGTTAGGCCCTAGGAATCTAGTTTTTATCAAGTTGCTCTAAATGATTTTGATATGCAGAAAACTTTTGAGAATCACTGGTCTATTGTCATAAAAAGAAACTGGATATGAATTATATCTTCAAATAGAGATCAGATTCAAATATATTGGAGTGAGCAGTATTTATTAGGAAGAGAACATGATATGAATAAAAACACAGTATTGAAAGTTGTTGGTTTATAGTACGTTCAGTTTGTGTCAACAGTCTGTGTGCTTCAAGAGGCAAAAACTAGAAGCCTAAGCCTGGTTCAGGGCCGGACACATATTAAGAACTCTATAAATATCTGATGAGTGAATGAAAGAATTGGGTACATGTTCAAGGCTAATAAAAAAACTTGGTGTGGCTTTAGGATGTAATAACAAAAGCAGAATTTCCCCAATAAGGGACAAATTATTTTGTATGAAACAAATCACCACAGCATAATTGTAGAAGACTGGCTGCTGAATGTATATTAAAGAATGACAGCTAGGGAAGTGAAGGAACCAGAAACAATTTCAAATAATAATAATAATAATAATAATAATAATAATAATAATAGAAGAAAATACTTATGTGGTGACTTACTGTGTACAATACTTTTAAGAGTTTTGCAAATATCAACATTTAATTCTCCCAACAATATTCTGAGATAAGTAAAAATTAATATTTTCCTTTTGCACTCAACATGTGACATTTTTAAAACTGGTGACAATTTTAACAATTGGACAAACTAATACTCATTTTTCTTTAAACCTGTTGTTTATTAGGAAAAAGAAAAATGAAGTGAAAACTACTGAGGAAAGATCAAAGTCAAGTACTACATGTAGAGGTTAAAAAGTTGAATTAATGCAAATTTCTATTTTGCTTAACCTGAATTCTAAAAAATAATGATGTCTTAAGACATTCAAAAGGGGATATTTAAAATGAAAATGACTAAAAATGTTCATATTTTTTCTAAATACAATATTGAAGTTTTCAGTCTTCAAATAAGAAGGTAATTGTAAATAACATAGGAAAGTTATTACTAATCTTTGAATTTTCCAAAAAAGCAATATTTACCAAAATTGCTACTACAATAATTTATTATTCTACCACTGTTAATTGAAAATCTTGTTTAATTATATATCGGGTGGCAAAGGAAATTATGATACACTCAACTGATGAATTTAAAAAAATTCTTTCCCTCATAAAAGGATATAATACGTATGATGACATGATAAACCATTAGCTAAACTAGGTGATAATACAATTATAGGTTGTCTAATCTGTACTTTTGTATAATATTTAGAAAAATGTTTATTTGCAATTATAGGCTGATGTAGATTTGGGGTTACAACTTAATGGAAATAATGATATGCAACATTTTAGTTTATTTCATGTAAAATTTTAAAAAACTTAAAGGAGAATTTGAAAATTAAAAAAAACAGGTTATATGAATTTGGGAATTAAATGCACATTTTTATAAATAAAATCAACCTCATTTGGTAAATAATTTTAAGATGATGACTGAAAAACAAAATTGATATCTTTTAGCTGATAATTTTCAGCATCTTTAATTACCTAAATTTGAAAAGACAAGAAAAGCAACATAACAAGTATATTAAATATATCTAAAGGTTTCAAAAGGCATTATTCTTATTATGGAAGCAAAATTTTAATTGTCTACGAATTCCTAATATCATTGCAACATACCCATTATAAATAAATTTTGAATAAAATAAAGTTAGTAAAATTGTCATATCTCACTTTTCTACTTTATTTTCATTAATTGCAGAGAAAAAGCTTAATACAGAAAACATATCCAGCATTATCTTACAAAATCATAATCAAGTGAGCTATATGCTTGGTGCTCAGAAAGAGTACATTATTACACATTTACTATTATGACAATATCATCATTATGGGTTAAGATTAAATAGGAGTTCCCAATGATAATTAGAAAGAATATGACATTATCCAAATTCACAACGACCTATTTGTTGTTTGAACTAGGACTTTCTACCTTGACTGAATTACACATAAAGGCATGAAAACAGCTAAACAATACATTAAATACATTCAGAATATTGTCTGCATTATTAGGAGGAAATAAATTAAATACATGTTCACTAGTGTAATACACTAGTGAATAGGCAAGGCTTTTTACTTGTCCCATTAAGAATATATTTTCTAATTATTGTTTTCATATTAGTTTCGAAAGTTTTGTATTTAAAAATTAATAAAATGATTTGGTACTAAGTTTTTATCTTATGTTCCAAGTATAATTATTTCATGAAATTTTGTTTCAGTTTTGCACACGTGTACAAACATGTGAAATATATTTCTTATATCAGTTACTATTAGAAATTTTAAAACACAATTTTAAAAACCTGAATTAATAAAACTAATTGTGCTTGTTGAAATAAAAGGTTTTATCCAATAAAATAAATTTCAATAATAAATGTACCTTTTGTATTGTCGAGTTTAGCAATGACTTTTTGTTCTGCAACATTCCAAATGATCACTAAATTATCGGTACTGCCACTTGCAAACAGATCAGGATTATGTGGACACCAAGAGATTGCTGTAATTGTTTTTTTATGTTCAGACATAATTGCATAAAGTTTGAATTCATTATAACGGTGATCCAACTAAAACAAAATAAATAAAACATTTTAGTACTTTTTAAAAATAATGCATTATCCATTAATAATCATGTTATATAAACAAAAGCTACATACATGAAAATTATTTCACCTAGTAATAAATAGATGAACAAATTTTAAGCCTTGGTCTATTTAAGTATATTCGATCAGCAGAAAAAAAACATTTGGGGTAAAATGAGAGAATGAAAAATAAAACATAAATTAAAATTAATAAAAATGTTTTACATTCAAATATGCACAAGAATTCAGAGCTTTATTACATTTTCCATGGCTATATCCATTTATGAAGAGTAAATAAACCCCTTGGTTTTGGAATTTTTTTCTGCCATTTTCACTTATATTTAAATTTAAAAATTATATTGTACAAAAAAATTAGGATTTTAAATAAATCAAATGCTTATCCTTATATTATTAAGATATCCAACTCTTCCAGAGCAATGAATTCTTGACCCTTTTTGTGTCATTTTTTAAATTAGGTTGCATTTTTATATGTAAGTGAATAAAATGAATAGCCCATATTTTCCTGTTTCATTTGTAAATGTGCCTGAATTAATTAGTAGATTAAGTAATTTCTCTACCTTTTGTATAATGTTTTGGATTGTACTATATGTGTCATCTTGTAGTGATCATTTCAGGGTTACTGAAAGTTTTAAAAATCATTATCTTAAATGTTACTCCAATATTTATTTAACCATATACTTGCAGTAAAATCCTAACTGCTGACAGAACCTTCAGTACTCTACATGATCAAACCTCTGCTATCTTGCCAAACTAATCTGATATAAAATTCCTCCCAGTAAAATCATTTCCATGTTACATACAGCTTGATACTCACTGTTTTCTTTTCTTCTAATTCTCTCCCCACTGATCTGCTCATGATTATTCATTTACCTGTTCAGGTCTGATTTGAAAAGTACCACTTTAGAGAGATGTTTTCAGAGTATGCTATTTAAATTAATAACTCTCCTCAGAACCTATCCCATTATCTTATTATCTGTTTTGTAGTTTTCATGGAACACATTACTTCCTGAAACATTTACTTAATTATTTGTTTACTGATTTTATGACCTCTCCCTGTCCTGTGTTCCCACAATAAGATTTTGCCTGGTTTGTTCTCAGTTGCATTTCTAGTGTCATGTAATGCTTTGTACTCTATATGATCAAACTTCTGCTATCTTGCCAAACTAATCTGATATGAGAAGAGGGTCAGTTGATATTGAAGAACAAACCTTGATGTTATGGTTTTGCACTTAAGTAACTTCTGCTTTTTTTTTTGTTTGTTTTCCTAGTACATTTTATTTCTTTCTACAGATAGAGGATAAATGTCTCATTATTAGAGGGGACATGTTAGAGACAGAGTACTTTCAATGTGTATACCCTTGTGTTTTCAGAATACAGTTGGCTTTCCACATTCCTAGGTTCAACATCCATGGAAACCATCCAACAACCCAAACATAAAAAATGTTTACAAATAATTGGTACCAAACATATACAGACTTTTTTTTCCTGGTCATTATTCCCTAAATAATATACTGTAACAACTATGTGTATTTATATTGTATTGTTATTATAAGTAATATAAAGATGCTTTAAAGTGCATGAAGGAATTTGCAAATAGGTTATATGCAGATATTATAACATTTTACAAAAGGGAATTGAGCATCTACACATTTTGCTATCCAAAGGGGGTCCTGGAATTTAACCACTATAAACTGAGGGACAATGTGTTTCATTTCCTACCTGTAGGTTGAAGAAAAATATTAAAGAAAGTTAAAATAGTTTTCTCATTATTTTATATTTTCATGGGACTAATCATTTTTCAGGCCTGTACCCTCTAATCAGTTTTTAAACAAATTTCTTAGATATTTAAACAATCTAAGAATACTTTTGTTAGAATTATTCATTATATCTAATCTTTTCCACATGATACATTCTTCTTCTCTTTTTTTTTTTTAATTTTTTTTATTGGTTGTTAAAAACATTATAAAGCTCTTGACATATCATGTTTCATACATTAGATTCAAGTTGGTTATGAACTCCCAATTTTACCCCAAATACAGATTGCAGAATCACATCGGTTACACATCCACATTTTTACATAATACCCTATTAGTAACTGTTGTATTCTGCTACCTTTCCTATCCTCTACCATCCCCCCTCCCTCCCCTCCCATCTTCTCTCTCTACTTCTGCTTTTTGCTATCACATTTATGGTGCAGTAAACATCTTTGTATATAAAATTTTGACTAATGTCCTAATTATTTCCTAAGGCTTTGTCTCCTATAAATTCTTTTTCTTTTTATAGTTTCAAATATTCTTAGACAACTTTGATGAAAGCATTATTAAAGATAACCCAGTACCACTGGTTTTAATCTGAACGGCACTACAGCAATAATAATTTTACATGAGCCTATTTAAATACATAATTGTGTTCTTTGTCTATTTACAAATGATCAGGTTTTTAAGTTTTAAATTATTCAGAAATTTATGTTAGCCATGGTAGATACTGTGAATATATACAATGTAACAGAAAAATCTGGTATATACATATTAGAAATTCATTTAGAGATAGCTATAAATACAATAAATATAAAAATCAGTGACCTTCTTTGACTTTACCACACAAATTATCCAATAGTATCTGTAAGCACACTAGAGAATACTGAACTACTTGTAGGGATTAAATTATTAATGAATTCCTATGATATTTACAATTTGGTGTTGTAACTGTACTGTTGTTACATCGAGAGGGAGCATAAATTAATGTTAAAGAACTTTAATACAATATATTGGTGCATTATAAAGTAAAAATTCAAAAGCCATTTAGAAATATTATTTAATGTTCAGAAAAATCTAATAATACATCACAGTCATTATCTTGAATTTGACACTATTTTTGGACTTTGACTATTCAGTCTGTTTGTACAAGATACTATTTAATAAACATCTATTCTGAAATCATAACATTTTCTATTTATGTATCACATAACACAATATTAATTTATTATATAAATATATATGTATGATTATATAAATTAGGTCACATGAAAGTAAATATAAATTATATATAATGTATAATTTAGAATATAAATTTATATTAACATCAATTTAATGTCATTATCATCATTTAGTAATGCAATTGTTTACTGGAATATTTTGAAACAAGTTGCTACAGTGCACACTGTAATGAACTGACACCTAAGTTAATTTGTAAATGAGCATAATTTTGAGTTTAATTCATAAGTTTATGTTCATAATTTTAGCTTAACTTCCTAAATGTTTGTCACCAAATGCTATCATAAAATTTCAGACATAAAAACTTGAAAAAATTGTCTTGCCTAAACCTGTTCAGTTTCTTAGCATCCTTACCTCTGAGAGGAACAGTCTGCTTTGCCTGACATGCTTCTTTTCTTTAGGAGGGGGACTTGAGACTAGCTAGGCAAAAAATTTTATAGAAGGAATTTGGGAGTGAGAAGCATGGGAGTACATGCAGGGTGTCAAGGACATAGATGGGGGGGGGGGGAAGGAAGCTTTCTGTTGTCTTACATAGAGAAGGGATGGGAAGTGAAAGATTGCGAGTGGTATTAAAATCACACCTCCATTGCTAGACATTTCCAGTCTTCATAAGTGGACTACACACAATTTTATTCTATATTGTGGAAATGAATTGTTTTTATGGATGAATGCTATTGTTTCTTCAATTTTCAATAAACCATAGCACAATTTGTAATAAACTTATGTAATAATAAAAAGTATTTTTCAGAATAAAACATTATTTTATTCTTATTTATTCTTCAGAATAAAGCATTATTTTTCAGTCAACTGAAATAGTTGATGTTTGAAGATTAAAAGAGAGTGGTCTCATTCATCTAAGACATTTAATAAATTATCTATGAAGTGCTAGAGATTGTACAAATGTTTAAGAATGCAAAGGTAAGGCAGCCTCATTTATAATAAATGGAAAAATAGGGTTCATTTTATGAAAATCCTCTCTCATAAGGAAGGGGGAAAGGCAGAATATGAAAAAGAATTTACATTTCAGGTGAGATTTGAAAGATGAGAAAATGTTCCCCCCACAGGCAATGTTGGCAAACTGATAAATTAATGAAAAGGAGACAGGAGTTTAAGATGTTTCATAAAATGCAATTGGTTGGTAGTCTGCAGCACAGAGTAAAAGAAAAAGGACACAGGATGGTCACAAGATGTTAAAAGTCATGAACTCCTAGTAGCTCAGTAGGCTGAAGCAGGAGGATGGCAAAATCAATAGCAACTCATCAAGGTCCTTTCTTTAAATAAATCGGAAAAAGGGATGGGGATGTGGCTCAGTGGTTAAACACCCCTTGGTTCAATGCCTGATACCAGGGGAAAAAAAGTCATAATATAAAGTTTAGATGTAATATTATGGTATGAATGGCAATTAAAGATTTTAAAATTGATATTTGCATAAATTATGGAAAAAACAAATGAAAGGAAGAGAGACTATTAAGAGAATATTATATAGTTCAGGGAGGAAAGATACTGAAAAATACAAGATATCACATCACTCTTGGTTACCAAGGGCAAAGGAGGTACGTAGAAGTGAGTCATTCTGACTAACATTTCTGGTTTAGACAAAAGGTTAGCCCTTTGAGAATTTGACTCTGGGGTTCAGGAGAAAGACTAAATTTGGATTTAAGATGTTTATGGCTCCTCTATATAGAGAAATTCATGAAGACACTGGCTTTGTACATTGGGAATTGATAAGTGACAACTGGAATTTTTTTTAAAAAAAGTAGTTATAAAGATTTTTCTCTCAAAAATATTTTGAAATGTATCCACACTAATTTTCATGTGATGATTTCTAATAGACTATCCACATCCTTCAACTGATATAATTTTCTCATTTCAAATTTACTAATAAGATGATATAAACATTTTCTGAGCATTTGAAAGCCCAATAAAAAACAGAAAATAGAAATAGCAACTAAATTATAGCAATTATGGTTTTCATGTGAAAAAAACTTAAAACAACTATGAATTAAATGATCATTTTAACTGTTACAATTAAAAATTGAAAAGAATTAGCATTGTTACCTGATAAATATAGATAGCCAGAGTAGCACAATATGCAAACCTGTCTCCATTGGCAGCACACACATCTTTGTTCCATGGCTGACATCCAGCAGCCAGCAATCCCACTTGCCTTACCTGGGACATGCTTGCCTTGAAAAACAAATTTGAAGAAAGTTTCAGTAATTCTCATTATTGGACAAACACTATCATTTTTCATGTCTTCTCTAATCCACACCTTTGTGCCCTGAAAAAATGTTACTACTATGGATCTCACCATACATTTTCAGAGAAAAGGAATTGAAATTCCCCAATACTTGTAGACCTCAAGACAATTTACAGGAGCAAGAGATCATAAAATGATGAATGACATGAGATACTTGGCCAAAGGCTGAGAAACCTATAAGGAGTTATAGGAACTATAGTGGAAGAGAAGGCACATATCTTACCTATGTAAACAATTTTAGTGCCATTGGAAATAGCCATCCCATGTGCCAGATAAATGGAACTTCTGAGAAAAACTGAAATATCTATATTTTTCTGTTATATGTACCAATTTTTAAATACTGGTAATTCATTTAAGGCAGCAAATTCAAATTTAAAACAGTGTGGGCTAGTGTTGGTGGGATTCTGACCTCTGTCACAGAACTACATGCGTTTTACATTAACTCTTTATGCTCACAAAAAGTATTTGAAGTACACAAGACAGATATAGAAGCTGGATCAAGAACATTGCTCACTGTTAAAAGAGGGGTCAGAAAAAAGTTGGAAAATAGTTTATATTTGAATAAGAATGGATTATGGCACAAGGCAGAAGATGTTTCAGTTACCAATCCCAGAAATCAGACCATGAAACATGGCAGAAGCAGCCCAAAGCCAAAACTAAATAAATAAGAAATAAGACCCAGCTTTGCATCAAGCACAGAATACAAGTTGGAGTCAGCCATTCAACCTTAGGTCTCTATTTCTTGAATCTAAAATATACTTTTGAACTGCATTTTCTACAAGAGTTCTCTCAGTTCAAAAAATTCTATGAATCTAAGTGTAAACTCAAGATTATTCTAAAATACTGGAGAGAAGAAAGTATAAACACCATAGATGTTTTATATTTATAGAAGTGAGTCTGATTGTAAGTTTTATGATCATATTGAAAATCCATCAAACTGAAAAATAATACTAAGGCCAAAAACATACCTAGGCAGAGTACTACTCTCTATAGTTATCTCATGAATGACATCCACAAAAAAATTATTGACAAAAAAAACCTCCTTTAAAAGGTAGAATTCATACCATCATTATATAGTTAATAGCTAATATCTAGTCTACATCTAGTTTATGATGCTCAAAATCTTTATATTATTTTAACAGAATAATGTTAATGTCAAAATCAAAATATGTAAAATTATCACACATACAAAATATATCCATGTAAGATATAGGGTAAAAGTTTCTAGGTGCTTGTTCAGTGTATTCCCTGGAACCCTAAAACTTAATAATAGCTATAGTCTTCTCTTTCTACTCTGCTACCCAGAAATTTAAAGCAAGCTATCCCAAATCATTGATAGCTCATACAGTTATGGAAACCATAACTTAGTGTCTCTTTTATTATCTGCTTTCTTGGTGTCTCTCATTAGCTTCTTCAGTGTGTGTGTGCATGTGTGTGTGTTGCAGAGGACAGAACCCAGAGCTTCACACATGCTACAAAAGCACTCTACCACTGAGTACATTCCCAGCTCTCTTCTTCCTTAATGTTAAGAAATTAGTAAATGTCAATCAGTTATATTTTCTCCAATGTACCATTAACATTAATTTATAACACTACTTTCTTTTATCTTTACTCTTTCATGCTTTTGCATCTGGAAATAATCTACTTTCTTCTCCAGTTCTTTGTTCTTGTCCCACAAAACCCCTTATCTGGATAGAACCAGTGAAAAGTTTACCAGAAGTAAATAAATTATTTGAAGTGAAAAAATGTCATGATAAAGAAGCAGTACTATCAATATTTGAGTGCTTATAAATATTCCAAAACTTCTACAGAAAAATACTTTCTTCCTCCTCTAATGACACTACATTTCTTCAGGAGCTAGCATTCAGGATAAATTAAAAAAAATATATATATATATATATATATATATATATTGGGTTTTTTTCCAATTGGTTATTTTACAGTAATATTCTTTTCATTGAAAATGTCATTTCAGCCTCAGTGTAAATGAAATAGGTTTGTAGATTGTGCTAGAGATCTATGATTGCTATATATATAGCAATTATAGCATTTCTATGTAAGTAAAAATGACTGCTGATTTGCTTAATAAAATACTGAGTTTATATTTAGAAAGGAAATATAGAGATCTTTAAAAACAAATGTAAATCAGAGTCATTTAAAAATTTTAACTTTCTGCTAAATTTGTACATTTTTTAAAATAAGTCATTTTTAGAACAGTTTTAGGTTCATGGCAAAATTGAGCAAAAATATAAAGCATTCCCAAATACACTTTGTAGCCTTCCCTTTCCTTATAACACAAGCTCCCCAACTTTCAACATTCAGGATGAGGTGGTACTTTTATTACAATGGATGAAGTGATACTAATATATCATTGTCAAAGTCCATAGTCTACATTAGGGTTCTGTCTTAGTATTCTACTATTGGTTCTGACCCAAATGTACAATGACACTGTAGTATATTGTATAGAGTGATTTTACTGCCCTAAAATGTCTTCTGACCTCTGCCTATTCATTCCTGTCCCTTGCCAATTTGGTAACAACTAATCTTTTTACTTTCTCCATAGTTTTACCTTTCCAAAGTGTCATATAGTTACAATGATACAGGACCTACCCTTTTTAGATTAGCTTCTTTCAGTTAGCAATATACATTTAAGTTTCCTTTATGTTTTTCATGGTTTGAAAAAACCCAATTCTTTTCTTCTTCAATCTTAAAATCCTTTTTTTATCATGGTAAAATAAATATGACTTAAAATTTACTCTTAACAATTTTAAGTGTACACCTCAATAGTATTAAATATATTCTTATTGTGCAACCATCAACCATCACTGCTATTCATCTCCAGGAATCTTTTCATTGTATAAAACTGAAACTCAAAATCCATAAACAATTATCCCTCATTCTCCCTTTCTTCAGCCCTTTACAACCACTATTCTAAAGCTGTCTATGATTTTGACTGCTAAAGTAACTTATATATGTGAAAAATACATATTTGTCTTGTTGTTAGTGGCTTATTTCATTTTGCATAATATGCTTAGATTTAATCCATATTGTAATGTATCTTAGAATTTCCATTTTTTTAAAGGCTGGATAATATTGTAATGTGATATTTTGCTTATCCAATACATGATATTTTGCTTATCCATTCATCAGTGAATAGATGGCTGAATTGCTTCTACATTAGCTATTGCAAATATGCTATTATGAATATGTAGAGTGGGGAGAGACAGAGGGAGATCTTTAAGATGCTCCTTTTAATTCTTTGGGATATATGTCCAAAAGTGGAAATATCTGTACTATGTGGTTATTCTATTTTTAATATTTTGATAAATTTTCACATTATTTTACACATCAGCTGCTACATTTTACATTCCCACCAGAAGTGTTCTGATTGCTTTACATCTTTACCAACTCTTGCTATTTTCTATTATTTAATAGTAACCACTCTAACGGTATGTTACTTTGATTCACATTTCCCTAATGATTAGTGATGTTGACCATAGTTTCATGTGCTTATTTGGTCATCTGCATATCTCCTTTGGAAAAAAGTCTATTTGAATAATTTGCCAATTTTTGAATCTAGTAAGTCTTGTTTTTTTTGTTGTTGTTGTTGTTGTTTGTTTTGTTTTGTTGTTGTTGTTGTTTTGCTGTTGGCTTTAGAAGTGCTCTACATATTTGAGATAGTAGTCTCTTATCACATATGTTTTGCAAACTTATTTTCTCATTCTGTGTATTCCCTGTTTGATCTGTTGGTTGTTTTTCTTGATGAACAACTTTTTAATATTTATAAAATCCAACTTATCTATTTTTTCTTTGAATGCCTATGCTTTTGGTATCATATGCAAGAAAGTATTGTCAAATCCAATGTTGTAAAGCTTTTACCCTGATTTCCTCTAAGAGACTTATAGTTTGGGGTCTTACATTCAGATTTTGAGTCATTTTAATTTTTGTACATTATATTTTATAAGAGTCATCATTCCTTTGTTGTTCATTTGTTGAAAAGACTGTTCTTTCCCCCATTAAACAGTCACAGCACCCTTACAGTCACAGCACCCTTTTTAAATAACAGGTAACCTTATGCAAGGATACACACCCACCCACCCACACACACACACACACACCACACACACCACACACACACAACACTCTGAGATATATATTACATATATACTCTTTAGAATAGCAGTTGTAAGGTGCTGAAGAAGGAGGCAGTGAGGGATAATTGTTTATGGCTTGAGTTTCAGTTTTACAAAATGAAAAGATTTTTGGAAATGAATGGCAGTAATGGTTGGTGGTTGCATAATAAAATATATTTAATACTATTGAGGTATAGTACACTGAGGTGTACACTTAAAATTGTTAAAAAAGTAAATTTTAAGTTATATTTATTTTATCATGATAAAAAAAGATTGAAGAAAAACGAATTGAGCTATCAAACCAATTTGAATTTCTATTATTTTATCTAGTCTCCTTACTACTTATAGGACTATTCAAATTCTTAATTTCTTTATGGTATAGTCTTGGTTGATTGTCTGTTTCTTGGAGTTTGTTGATTTTTATCAAAGTTGTCTAATTTGTTGGTGTATACTTCTTAGTATTGTTTTATAACCCTTCCTATTTTGTACAATCTGTAGGAATATCCCCACTTTTGCTTATGATTTTAATAATTCAAGTCTACTCATTCCTTTTCTTAATCTATCTTAATAAAGGTTTTTCAATTGTGTTCATCTTTACAAAGAATAAACTTTTGGTTTCATTGATTTTCTCCATTGTCTTTCTATTCTCCATTTCATTTATTTTTACTCTGACATTTATTATTTTTTTATTATGTTTTGGTATGTTATGTTTTTGTTTTTCATCTCTAAGTCTCTTCTATTTTTCCTTGTAATTTCTTCTTTCACGTATAAGTTATTTTGAGGGTATGTT